CTACTGTAGGTTACAGGCACAGGCTAAATCATAGCACATGCCAAACAACACTACCTTACCCATTGAGACGCACATACTGTACAAACAACATTACCTGGAATGCTACACGACCCTAAAAACACAATATACACTGTATATTGTCTGAACTTGGCAAGAGACAGTAAATAGAAACTGATCCTGATGAAGTACTGACTCAGTGACCACAGCCTGTCCATATAAACAGGGCAACACAGGAAGGCCTGGCTGCCCAAAGAGGACCCCCACTTCCAGCGGAAAGAAGCAGACACAGAGATGCTCTTTCTGCTGCACTGTGTGAATCTAATCCCACACTTGACAGAAGCAGTACAGCTCCTTACTGGGGAAGGGAGAGGAAACTCAATAGAACTGGTAGACCAGTATGTGATTGTATTTATACAGCTTGTCCTGCTTCCGACAACAGTCACAAATGCTACCAGTCTGCAATATTCATTATGCACTTCCTGCTAAAGAGTTTTGTTGATAAACATTAATCATACATAAAATCATACCTATCGTATTTGTTCTATAAAATGGCAAGGACAAGCTTAAGGTAGCAACTTGGAGAAGTGGTGAGCATTGAACTCTGAGCCTGTCTAGTTTCAAATCTCAGGTGGAACATTGTTGGTGAGTCTTTGAGCTAGGTACTGTGCTTCTCTCAATATTGTTTCACTCAGACACAAAGCGTCTCCAACATATTAATGTGTTTCTAACAAATCATTAGAAATAAGAATTATTTTATGTTTGACTTACCCAGTAAAATAAAGTAATACAAATTAAATTAACTGAGAATACTGCTTTTATAAGTGACTCTTGTACATTTACATGGTAAACAATCTGAGAAAACTCCATATACAGTACCAATGTGAGATGCTGACATGGAAAAATAAATATTTTTTAGATTTGTGTGTGCGTGAAATTAGGTGTGGATATATACAGAATATAAAGGCTCGAATTTAAAATGTCTGAACTGAAATAATGACATGTACTCTAAAGGAAGACAGAGAATAGAATAATAGAGCACTTCAGCAAATAACAGTTATTTTGGTTTGGAAACTGCAGATAATAGAGAGGAAACATTTAGCTTAATCAGAAGTGCTAAAGTCTCACCGAAATGAAGAGGGTGGAATAAAAATAAAACAACAAAGGAGGCTGTGCAAATAAGGATTAATATTGCAAACATCTAAGCGCTTGGGAGATGGAAATAAATCAAAATTAAAGGCAAAATTAAAGCCATTTGCATGACTTATCACAGGCATCAGAAAGCAGCTGTTTGGTCTTCAAACAACATTTTTTGGAAAGTGACAATAAAATAAAAGATTTGATTTTTTCTTAACCTTCACTAATTATTAGTTAAGGCTATATATTGTATGCTCCTGGTTTGATTTTCCTCATATTGTAGGGCTGAGTTAGGCTTTAGAGTTGGAAATATATACAGAACACACATGCATGAACAAAAAACAACAACAAAACAATGTAATCCAACAACCCCAACACAGCCCAGAGGCTTATGTGCTGCAGGTATTATTTCATGCAGAAAGTATAGGGGAAACAAGAGGAAATTAAAAAAAAGAAAAGAAAAATTGAAGTAGGGGAAAGGTTAAGATGAATGAAATGCCCAAGCCGGGTTGAAAGAAACAGAGTACAAGAGCCTTCAGATGAAAAGGTGCAAGGAAGAGAATTGATGAGATAAGTACAGTATGAGCAAAGAATAAAAGGGATTTTGTTAATGTGTTGATGTCTCCAAGTATTCGCTTGTAAAAAAGAATTTTCTGTTTACAATTGTGCTGTCTTACACTTTCAGATGTTCTAAGTGCTAAGGAATATTTGCTTGATTACTTCAGTGGCCTTTTGGCTAAAATTGCAGTTCAGTAGTGCTTTACTGAGCAATCCATCCACTATCAGGGAACGCTATATCAAATTAATTTATGGAAGTGGGAGCTGAAATACGGGATTGCTACATTCCACTCACGCTTCCATCTGGAATCGCAGGACCTCCAAAATTGTTCCACCTCCCCAACTTGGACCTTCGCCTGCAGCAGCTACTGTACAGTGGGATGTGATTGTCAAACAAGTGAAACTTACCGCAGCTTAATTCTGGAAACTTAAGTGCTGGGAAAGGAGGGTACTCCATATTCATTTGATTGTGAGATTTCAGCGCCTTATGTGTGATGCCTTAGTTGTCAAAATAAGCAATGTTTGAGAACAGTACAGTGTCTAATCAGTGCATCTATAATTGTGATGAAAGAATACTCCATCTTAATTTTATGTCCACTTACATAAATCAGCAACTGGTTCTATATCTGTTTGTTGAGTGATTTTAATCTAAACATGAAGGCTGTAAACAGTATTAGATATAATATTATCAATAATTCTAATTCATTACTTATTAAATATAAAATAAACATTTATTTAGGATAAATCTCTAGGATAAATCGGGTGTTTAACTCAGCTGGGTCCCAGAGAGAGGTGGTTTATATATATATAGCCAATTCATTACATATTTAAGATTTAAGGTTATTGCAATTTCAGGAACTAAAACATATTTGAAGGCTCCAACACTGCAGTGGAAACACATTCATACAAGTCTAATTAACAGGTAAGTATCCATAAAGATGAAAAGTGTAGTTTTGTCAGATAAAGGTTACTTCGCACTAAGTCTAAGTACATTATGCATGCAGGATGCTGAAACCACCACTGCATAAAGACTGCTAGCCTGCTGCATACAGTTCAGTGAATTCAATTTAAATAGACCAATATCAAGGACTAAAAGGTTTTATCCACTGCACTGCCAGTAATTTTATTCCTAACAGCTTTTTAAGTCTCATAAAGGCCTAAATGTACCAAATATTATAACTCAATACATCACATAAATCTTCACTTGAAAATTTCAGACTTTACACATAAATGTCACTGTGAACATTGAATTCCCTCAATGAAAAAATAATATTTCCTAAGTAAATGATCATTACACCTAATCCCTTTTTACAAAGTTTGACTCACTAGCTTATAGGATAAAACTATTAAAGTTTAATGTTCCCTCGGCTTTTAGGAATGTGTCAGAGGTTTATTAATTTGTATCAAACTGTCAGATGGACAATGCCCAAAAGATCGGTAACATAAGAGTCACTAAGAGAAGCAGATACTCAGCACTGGGTTTTCAAACCATTTGAATATGATTGTGCTTATTTGTGAATCTCTGTCCACATCACACTTTAAAATCACCATCCGTTTCTTTTAAAGGCTCATCCTTCCCGACGTTTAGTTATCCTACAAACTAATAAAGTCACTTTCTTGCATTTGAACCTTACACAATCAGATACCAAACTTTCTGGTTAATTTCAGTTGTCATGCCTCAAAGTCTCATGTCTCAAAGCCAATATGAATATGCTTCCTGCCGTATTAAACTTGACATTTTGACAATCCATGTAGTACACTTTTAACAATAAAAAATAAAATAACAGGTTTGTGACCATCTTAGTAGGTATCCTCAGTGGCCCACGCCCAAGACCTAAAGTCAGTATCAAATTTCACATAGAAGGTGTGAAAAATGGCAATACTACCAAGAGCTAGAAGACACTTTTCAACAGCATTTTTAACATTCACCTGCTGATATACTATATTAGGATCCAAACAAAGAAAGTGTGTGTCATGTGTTCCAAGAAGATAAAAAAAAATACTGTGTGTGCAGTGATCTATCCTGTTTTTTTTTTAGTAAAGTCACCCTGCTGTTGTGAATAAGTTAATGGCATGTGGAAGTAAGCCACATGTTGCTTCAATTTAAATGGATTGAGATCTGGGGATTGTTCTGACCACAGATGGTGGTGAAAGTCTCTCTAGTGCTATTCAAGTCCAGACACACTGGGTGAATATTAGTTAATTAGTTGGTTAAGGCCTTAGAATGCACATTCTTGATTAATTGTGATTAAAGGAATGTTTCAATTTATTAAGGTTTTGGTTTATATAAAGGCCCTCACAGTGTTAGTTAGCAGTGTGGCTTAAAATAACAAGATTAAACACGAACATACAGATATAGAAGGGAAACTGTAGGGCAATCACACACACACCCTAGCAAAAAGATGAGTTTTGAGTTTGGATTTGAAGAGAGTCAAAGATATTGTGCCTTGTAGAGTCTGATGAAGGGCATTGCATAACAAAGGAGCAGCAACAGAACGGGAACGGTCACATAAAGTCTGAGATTTTAGTCCTAGATACAGTGAGCAAAGAACCAGACTCAACGGAACGGAGCCTGTGAGAGGGAGTGTAAGGAGTGAAGGAGTTCAGAGATGTATGATGGAGCCAGATTTTTTTAAACCTGAATGTGAACTCCCAGTATTTTGTCCAATAAACATACAGTACAAAGCCTTCTCAGATACCCATGACCATAAAAATAATTTTAGTTAGACCATCCAATGCCACTGGGTACCTCAGTCAAATTTATTAAACTTTTTAAGTGAAATGGCCACATTCTCAAACGGCAAAGCACCAGCCATTACACAATAAGGGCAGGAGTACGAAACAGACTTTTAAAGGACTGGGATCTCCGGACTCATCACACATTCCTCACAATGCAAACTAGTGCAGCAAGTGTCTGACACACTGGCAAGAATAAAATTATGGATCTGGCCAAAAGAAAAACATTTTAAAGGTGCACCTATAGGGAGTACCACAGCATTCGATCCAAGATCAACAGTCCATACCAAATGCAGACATCAGATAGCATGTACACTGCCAACGCAAATGAAAATTGCACCAATAGCCTGTGAGCTTTTGAACCAAATGAACTCTCTGCATCTTGTTTTATACATTTACACAACAATACACAACAACAAAATACCGGTTCAGTCCCACTACAGGCTTCTTTATATACTGCATAAACAGGGAATCCTTTCCTTCCTAGTAAAAAAAGATGGATTTCAATTTCGAAGCTTGCGAAGGATCTCACCCAGAGAGGAGAATAAAATATTCAAGGACGCCGCTCTTACCCCCGCAGCAAACCCCAGGCTCCCATCCAGGATTCTTTTCTGGGGGGGCAAAAAAAGAAAAATTACATCAACCATCTGTTTCCTCAATGAAACCTCAAGTTTCAAAAGCTGTAACATATCTTTCAAGACTCCACAGTGAAACATCCTTCCTCTTTCACTTATAAAAAAGGCACCCAACGGTTGTTGTTTTTTTTTCCCCCCCAATCAGCACCTGAACCAAAAATGTGATTCTTACACTTTTCAATAATTGACAGAATCCCCACTGTGCAACACATTCCCTGAAATCCCATTCAGAGTTTGCCAGAGAATTTGTCAATTTGGATTCCCGTCCAGAGCTATTAAATCTGGTTTGTAAAAAATGCATTTTATCAAAATACATATTCTCGGTATCAGTGGAATGGATGTGGCAGAATGTTTTTTTGGAACTTATGAAAAATACAATTAAAACAGAACACCACCCATTCTTAAAGTATTTTAGATTACGGCTTCCTTTTAACTATATGTAATATAGTTATTATTGGTGCACAACTCACAAAAAGATTTTCTAGTCCAGCTTTAAAACTAAAAAGGCTAAAGATGAAAAGGTAACTAAGGAATAATGATAAGTCATTTATGCAGCTCTCTGCATCCCAAAGTCCTTCACATATAGGAGGGGAATTAATTCATCCATCTCTGAAGTGCAGCATCCACCTGGGTGACACACAGCAGTCACTATGCCTCAGCAGCACTGCACCAGCTCAGGTGGAGACACACAGAACTGCTACATCAACTGATTTAGCAGATCAACTGATGCCAGCAGCCATATCACCCTGCAACTCACAACTGGCAACCCACTGAAGCTAAGCAGGTGTGAGCCTGGTCAGTACCTGGATGGGAGACCTCCTGGGGAAAACTAAGGTTGCTGCTGGAAGAGGTGTTAGTGGGACCAGCAGGGGGTGCTCACCCTGTGGTCCATGTGGGTCCTAATGCCCCAGTATAGTGACGGGGACACTATACTGTAAACAGGCACTGTCCTTCGGATGAGACGTAAAACCGAGGTCCTTGTGGTCATTAAAAATCCCGGGGCGTTTCTCGAAAAGAGTAGGTGTGTAACCCCGGCTTCCTGGCCAAATTCCCCATTGGCCCTTACCAATCATGGCCTCCTAATAATCCCCATCTATGAATTGGCTTCATTACTCTGCTCTCCTCCCCACTGATACCTGACGTGTGGTGATATTCTGGCGCACTATGGCTGCCGTCGCATCATCCAGGTGGGGCTGCACACTGGTGGTGGTGGAGGGGAGTCCCCATTACCTGTAAAGCGCTTTGAGTGGAGTGTCCAGAAAAGCGCTATATAAGTGTAAGCAATTATTATTATTATTTAAGGTGGAGATTTAGGGAGACAAGACTGTGCAAGCCTGAAGCTGAATTAAGCCAGGGGACCAGGGTAAGCACTCCCTCCTAATCCATTTACCTATAGAACCACTACTGTACAGTAGTCCTATAAAGACGGATAAAGAACAACATATATATTTTAAGAAAATAGTTCAAAACATTAGTAATGCCAAATTTATAGAAGACAACAAAATATTCCAAATGTAAAAAAAACAATGAAGTTTGTCTTACAATGCATAGAGTTACCATAGCAATGATTATAGGGTAAAGGAAAATACTTCATACTTCATACTATTCTAATATTAAAAAGATTAGCTTCTTTCTTTATAATTTGTAATCGAGTTTTTTTCATCCAAATTCTGTGTACAGCTGCTTAAGCCGCATGTTTACATACATTTCTGGTACTTCAAACTTGTTATACAGTAGGTGTTTGGTAAGCTTTGCAAGAAAATGGCACAGTTTAGTATTACTGGACTCTGTATACTGTAAACACACTTTGGCATAACTGCAAACCGGTCAAGGCAAATCAAGGCAGATGACAAAAAGGAGCACACACGCAAATCTTGAGTCCGTGAAGGCAAGCAAACAGCTGCTCTATAAGTTCAAATAGGTACAACAGGTCTTCTACCTACAAAAACAAAGCCATGAAAGAAGCCTGGTATTTACTGCGTATACCCCAACATGGAAAGGGTAATGAAAGTAATTTACCATGAACTGTATTCATTTGCCCTTCATGGAGCTTAAGGCAAAGCACCAGTATCCAGTATTGTGCATGCTATTAAGCAGTCTGCACAACTCCTACATCAAAAACACTCAAGCAAGCTGGCCTGAAAGAAAGCAAATGGGAATAAACAGGCTGCTCGGAGTACTGGCAAGAATCTTTCCAACAAAACCAGCCTCTTCTTTTCACTGCAAGTGTGTGTAAAACTGCTTTAATCAAGCCCTCACATGAGGCTTTGCGTTGGCATGCAGTAATGCTTCAAAATAAGAAGCTGCCAATGTATTTCAGAAGCTGGTCGCTCAATAAAGATGAATGTAATAACCGGCACCTGTCCTGTGGAGAAAATGAAGACCAGGGCAGCTCCTGCAGCTGTGAGCCCCCAAGTGAAGAGAGTTCCCAACAGGGCCTGGAACACTGGGCTGTAACCTGGGATCATACTTTCCACCTGGAGATACACACACAAACACAATCTTAGGAACAGGGTCACAACACTTAAAGAGTAGTTCAGATTGCCTGTAAACATTCTCTGTTGACGTCTCCAATTGTCGTCTCCATCTCCGTCTCCATTGTGTCACGCTTTCTAACTCATAACATGGGCAACCCTAGTGCTTCTGAAGCACTGACTTTCAATTATGAACATTAATTGGTGACAACTGTCATTTGTTCCAGGTACAAAATGATAGGCGATGACTCACAGAAGCTAAAGATTTCTGTCTCTCAGGAAAGAGAGTAGACTATGCCTGCTCTAATTATTTACACAAAACAGGCTATTTAAAGGGTCCTCAAAGGATTCCTTGAACTGGGCTCCCTCCTGTGTTGACCTACTTAAACCAATGAAATTGAAGAAATTTACATTCTCAAGCACATTTCTTGCTTGCAAATTCAGGGATAAGCCTCTGCTCACATAAGTACATGAAGAACAGAGAACTGGGGTTCTGAAATGTCTTTCTTGGCCTCATATTTGGATGACATGCTGTGAACTGAGGGGAGATAGAGGTGCAAACCTCTCCTTCTTTCACTAGACATGATTGAAGAGTTTTGTGGATAGAGCGTTTGTTTAGACAAGTGTTTTTAAAAATGCACTTTGCAAAACAAAATTTGCACAGGAAGATTCATCTGGAAACAAATCAAGCAACAAGTGTTAAGTGAGATTCTTTGAAGGAGGCTGCTAAGAACTATAAAATATTTCTAAAGACCAGTTATGAAGAGGTGTTGAAGACCACTGTGCAGAGCACCCAGTGCAGCCTACATGTTGTGGACTCTGCAACACTGACACCCCCTCTCCCTCCCCATTATGGTATCCAGTCCTGAGGACCTTTCATACAATACAGCTGAAGAGACAATAATGCACAATACGATCAAACAACCATGATGCATGCATCTAGTTCATATTATATTTGCAGGTTATGAATAAAATATTTGCCCTCGCACTCCACTGCACTTTGAAAAAATTACCTCACTGAAGGCGCAGTGATTTTGCCTGATGTTGTTCCCACAGAATGCTAATTGATTTAAGTTAAACAATTGGTTACTAATGACTCGCACACGCTCTGCCAATGAAAATTGCTTGTAAGCTTACGAAGGGTTGCAGCTCTAATTTATTGTGTGTCCTCGCATGTCATTCACTTCTGGATTAACTGAATGATGCAAAATTTCATCAAAGTGCAAATCCTCATCTAAGCAGAAATACTTTTAAATCAATACTGGTATATACAGTGTGACATCTTGAATCAACCCCTTTACATCATAATACATTTTATATTAGAATATTTGTGCACAGTGCAGCCAACTGTGTACAATTCATTACAAAACATCTGGCAGTCCTAACATATTTCTTTAGAAATGAAATCTACATCTACTGTGAATCACTATACATTCTTGCATTATAAAAAATCATGTTCTTTAAATCTGGACGGTATTTGGCAGTTTGAATTTCTTCATTCTTTTCTCCTCTAATGATACAAACTCTGCCCTTCTAAGATCGGAATTCATGAAGTGAATGCTGCAGGTCATGTTTGGTTTCTGGCAGATTTCCTCTTGTTTCACAAGAACCTAATTTGTTAATAAAGAAAACTGTTTTTTTATAATTCTTTAAACGTTTATTAGTAAGACACAAAAAATGCAAAAGAACCCAATTTAGGGAAAGAAACCAGATATCATGTTGGACACAAACAACTTATCAGATAAAATAATCGAAGATATCAAACAGAAATATACAAGGTCTACTCTGGAAAAGAATACTTAATAAGCAGTATTAACATCCTTCACCTAAAATAAACATAGTGCTGAACAAGTCTGACTTCTAGTCAGGGCAGGGAAGGCTAAGATGTTGATCTAGTCACTAATGAACAAAAGGAACACAATGTCAACATGAAACAAAAGTGTTAAATGATGCAGCTTTCCTGCTGTACAAGTTCCCTTTGTCCTGTCTGAAAGCCCACAGATCCTGTTTCTCTGCTCTGCAACTGTGAAACAGACTTTAAGCCACATTTAGTACAATTAGTGTGCTCCTTACAGGTTATTCACTTAAAAATGCACAAGTGTGGTTTTATCTGGGACCCTGATTAATATTTAACAGCTTAACAAATACATATTTGATAGTGCCGCAAGCGTCCCGTTTTCCTCGTACTTTTAATTCTTTACAGATGATAGACCATAAGGAGCTGAATGAAATGTGAGGATACATGAAAACAGATGCAAACTTCTGCTCAAACCCGTATTCTGAAAACCAGTTCATTTTTCAAACAGGTGGTGTATTGTTTTGCATTCAGGTGATCTGTAATAACTTATCTCATTTTTAGAAAGCCCACAACACAGCTGAATGCTTATCGAATCATACACTTCGCCACTAATTGTTTAAGTTTAAAATACTTAAATGTGCAAGCAGGTTGTTACCTGGATTTAAACGCACTCCAGGGGGGCAATGTTAGACTGAAAATGCTTAGGAAAAACATACGCCATAAACAATGTGCAATGTGTCAACGCTTTAATGTGACCTTTAATACATTTAAACAGAAAAAAAACACAATAAGCACTTACTGTAATGAACCATTCACCAACTGAAAGTCCACTGCACTCACTTCCTGTTTCTCTGTACACGTGTCTCCGAAACCCTCCAAATACCGCCCATCTCGAACTGCTACTGGCTGCTAATGTAGCGCGACTCAGCAATAAGCTTTTCCTTTAATTCTACTGGTGGTAAGAGCCGCCATTCATTCCGAAATTTCCAGGACTTGGTGTCCAACTATTCTCTGATAAAATAATAACTGTATGTAGTGTAGTATGGTTCTTAACAGCGGCGAGACATTAACGGTTTGATCTATTTTCAAAATTCTGTATTTAATTTCATACTATGTGGAATGTAAAAAGTAAAACCACGCTTGTTTCTCTGCAAAACACAATTATAGGCGATAACTTTCCATATATGCGTCAATCTAAAAACCACCTTTTGCTTTTCCCTTTAATCAAGAATGGTATGTTGAGACCTCTAAATTAAAGACATGTTTAAGAGTTACCTGTGACATCAATTACAAAGGTGTGTTCTGATTTACGTCATCGTCCTAAGCACACACAATTACTGAAATGTAGACTTAACGCTTACGGTCCAAGAATGACTTCCAACTAGAAATTACCGAAAAGTAAACATTTCAAAACACTTACAAAAAATTGTTTACCTGAATAAAGCTGGGTGGTTATTTTCGACAATTAAACATTTTAGGACATGAGTTGGGTTTATTTTGTTGTTGTTGTTGTTGTTGTTGTTGTTGTTGTTGTTCTCAGATGTTGTCTGCATGCATTTTTTAGGAAAGTGTTTTCCGGTAATCGTATCAAGATCCCTAAAGTTGACGATACCGAATCTGTGGAGTGCTCTTTGCTAATACAATACATTTAACGTATTTTTGCGGAATTTCCCAGAGTTAGTGAGCTTTCCTATAAGATGTTCTGAATTACTTTCTCCATTTGATTGTGCTAAATGTTACACTGTAGATATACGAAACTGAACTAAACTGGAAACGGTCTTAATTAAGAAATTCGTTTCCCAGGATTCAGAAGAAAAACGAATTCTCAAACCATTAGAATAAAATTCAGATTAAAACTAAAATTAACAGGATGTCGGGGGCGGTGGTATTGGTTGGTACAGCACGTCATACTGTAAGTAAGTTTTATTATGCTAAGGAAAGATTATTAATGGGTAATACTATCTTCTTAAAAGGAAAGCTGGAGCAGGAATATCAAGATGACAGATAAACTACTGGCGAATAGGAGAGCTTGCTTTAGTCATCTGCTCCAAGGACAAAATACATTAATTAATAAATGTCAAAACCCTAAACGGGTTTACATTGGCAAAGCTGTCGTTCATTTCCAGGGCTTGCTGTCCAACTGCTTTTAAGAAAGAATTGTGTAGTGTACTGTGATTCTTAACAGCAGGGAGAAGTTAATGTTTTGTCCGCCTCTGTTGGAGCACAGGTGATCCTTTTTATCAGCATTTATTTTAAACTGTTATTTCATACAGAGAGGAGACTAGAATATAAACTACATTTATCTTATACCAAATGGTTAATACAGGCTATTAGTTTCCATATTCAAAATTCAAAAACTATAGAGGAAGGTATGTATATATGTAAACACTCATCCATCCGTTTGTAGTAACTGCTCCTTTTAATTCAGGGTTGCAAGAGAGCCAAAGTCTATCCCAGCAAGCAATGAGCTGAAAGCGGAATACATTCTGGCCGGTGCACCAGTCCATCACAGGACAGACACACACAAACACTCTTACAGCAAGGCTAAATTTCCCAGAAGCCAACTCATCTACTAGTACAGGTATGTCTTTGGACTGTGGGAGGAAACCAGAGCGTGCGAGCATGACTAGAACATAAAGATTCCACACAGACAGATAGTATGCCTGGGCTCAAGGGCTGCAAGGCAGCAATGCAAACCAATGTGCCAACATGCTGTCCAGAAAATTTCATTTAATTGCTTAGTCCCAAAGTTAAAAAAGTAAACTGATTCTATTATATTGTTCAGTCGTCCCATTAACAAATAAGCAGTCACATTTATTTTGTACAGACTAGTTTCACCTTGACTGGGGCTCTTCGGTGCAGTTTTTAGTCATGTTTTGTCTCTGCTGCAGTTGGTGTTTTGTCCTAATTTTATATATTAGTGTCCTTGTTTTCCAAAGGCATACAGTGTATCTGTGAAACTGAAGCGTCACTGTGTACTGTGAGCACAGCATGTTAAGAAGATCTAAAAAGGCATAGCTGTGATAAGGAGTGGATAATTTAGGATTTCAGAATGTGTGAAGAAAGGAAATAAAGAAAAGAACTATGTTTTTGAGTATAAAAAATAATAATTTTCTTTCTCTCGGACAGAGATTTAATGAGGGCATCGAGCCTGGAGGGCAGCCAGTGAAGGCAGAAATGCATCGCTCCCTTAACAAAGTAGGCAGTCAGACCTCCTTAGAAGTTCAAACAGTAAATGTGACCATCCGAAAAGAGGTTAAGCTCTGTGATCACGGATTTGATCACAGGTTGTAACCATGTGAGAGAAGGACCAGGACCTAGTAGGACCTAGAGACTCTCTGGGTTTACAAGGACAAAAAGTTTTATTTTCAAGAAAATGTCATAATCCACTGTGTAAATTCACACTGTTGGCATTTGAAAGGACTTGATCCAATAAGTAATGGAGTTAAAAGGTGTTACTACCATGTCTCAAGCCCTGTGATAAAAGTGGAAAGAATTAGAACGTTATCTAAATTTGGAAGGTCCTTGTAGATTGTATTGGTAGATAAAAACAGCCACATTTAGTTGTGAATGACAGAACATGGCTGGATCAATGTTTGATTGAGGAAGAAGAGAACCTAGCTGTACTCCCCATTGATTGAGAACGTATCATGACTTGCTTCACACAGGCCAACATGTCTTTTTTCTTGTAACTGCATCACTTACTAGGTATTGACAAGGTGTTCTTTATTCTGACATCCCCTGCCATGACTCTGAGTCATCCAGACTCATGGTCGCTTGGTTAATGCATTTTTCACTAACAACATCTGTTAAGCCACCTCATGAAGACCCATGACTTTGCCTAAAAGACATCAGGCTGATTTCACAAAGATACTCCCTGTAATGTTTTATCAGTATCATGTTCTCGAAACCTTTAGCATACTAATTAAATAATGTATTATTTGTCAAGGACATAGAGAACATATGACTCATGGGTGTACTAACCAATTGGGTTGATTTGTGCATAATGTATCTTTGGTATTGTATAATACAAAACGGATGATATCTAACATTGGTTTCCAAGATACATGTGGCAAGGTAGCAGGCTGTACAAGACATTTGCACTGTAACAAGAGCCACTTCTGAGAAATTAGCTTTTGTCTTCACTATCCTTCAACCATGATACACAGCAATAGAGACAGCTTTCATCAATGGAGGAACTGACCGGTTCATCCCCTGCAGACAATAAGTGGACCACTAGAGCCATCTATCAGCAGATCTTGTTGGAATGCCTGCCTGACATGCAGTATGGGTGAAGCAGTAAATTGGACACTTTGTGTCACTGAAACGTCAATGTTGTCCTGATTGTACAGGCTCCCTTCAATTTCAACCCATCTTTTACTCTCCAGCAGATATTCCCAATCCTCTCCAAAGCCGGGTTTGGCAAGCAGCAGTTTAACACAAATTAAGGCTGGAACTAAGATACACCTTGAATTCATTCAGCCTGGAATATACAACACAGAATTATGTCATTCCTATAATATTTTGATCAAATACACTTGTTCATAGCTGTTGCTGATAAGATCTTGTGAATTGTAAATTCAGCTCTTCTGTTTGTAATAATGTATGTAGCTTTTTTCACAGCTTTTCAGAAAATTTACCAAAAATGCATGGTCCATAATAATTAAATTATTTTTGTAATAAATCAGAATATAGACTGCAATAGGTTTACTTGACATAAAATGCAAAAGTGATTTTCTCATTTTGCACTTGGTTTCATGTGAATCTGTATGGATTTCTGTGCTGACATCTACAGCCCTGTCTATTGATCATGAGGTTTCAAGCCTGAATAAACACAAAAACTGCCATCAACCAGCTAGTATGATTAAGTTACTGTTTTAGAAACCTGGTGCTTTCACCACACTGAAACAAGAAATATTTCAAGCCACAAATCTTGTAATGTACAGAGCTGTGAGACGACTTTACCTCATTAAGCCTCACTAGTTTCCACATTATGTATTCTAGAACCATGGTTTCTGAAGCTAATGTGTTTATGGTGCTCAGTTTGTACAACCATTAAGCCCTGCTTAAACTCTGTAAAGAATTATCTTTTAATAATTGCTAACTTCTATATTAACATAAGCCAGTAACCAACAGTCACTAGGGAAGAATACTGACTTGTATAGCATTTTCAAAATTAATTTATCCATAAGGATATACGTATGGAATATTATTAACCTGCCACTAACACTGATAAGACTCTTTGAAGTGTATCTCTTCTGTTGCACAGAACAGCTGGAGAAAGACTTTGTATAATCACACAACTGTGATTTGTTCATTAGTAAATCTCTTGAGTCTGCAAGAAGGCAACCAGTCTGTACCTTTCAGAGGTATAATGTGAATCATGCTTCTTCTTCAATTTACACCTACAGTAGATCTGGATACAACACCTTTTAAAAGGAAAGTTATTTTAAAACATCAGTAGAACATGATAATGCTGTGTTGTCTGTAAATGTATGTTAAGCTCCTTAGGACTGGCAAATCAATGGCTGGAAAAGTCTGGAATTTTAAAATGTCATATTCAGAATTTATTTCTACTCACTACAGTGGAATGCCGAATGAGTTAAAAATAAGAGTCCAGTGTTGCTAAAAAAGTAAAAGCATTCACTCCAGTGGAGTTCTGTGAGCTCAGGGTTAGCTGGTTTCTTTCGGACACTGTGGAAGTTGTGGCATGTGAAACAAGTTGAATGGATGGGTGGGAACAGCTTGGCGGCTCCTTCACAATCTCCTTATTCTGTTACTATAATCACAGTTACAACCTTTATTTCATCTAGCACCTTTCACGGTACATCATCTCCATAAAAACCCTTATTTTGGTTAGGAGGATTGAAAACTGGATTTTAATGTTCCTCTTCTTTGAAAAACACAAACATGGGCTCACAAGATGTCTGTCTCAAAGGGGTGTGTGCTTCATGCTGACCATAAAACCTGGTCTTTTGCATTACATTACAGCTGCAATATAGTGAAAGTCTAATAGTGGGACATTTGCTGTTTGCCATGACCAACAGCTCATTCAGCCTACCTCCTTGTAACACCTCTTACAACACCACCAGCAAGGGAAGGTCATTGCTTTAGAAGAAAATCTAGAAATCCTGAATTTTAAAAATAATTCACAGGGGAAAAGGGTGGTAACTTCAAGAAATCCATCAGTAATATGTATGCCCAGTAAAAGTAGTGTCAGGACTACAGCTGCAAAAAGCCTTAAAGAGGGCTGGATGGTTTAGTGTTGAGGTGTCAGAGTAATCATTTCCTGCCAAAGCAGGGCTGGCACTCTGGGACACTAAAACAGTTCATGCCTTGCAGGATACTTTATTTATACAAGACCCCTGACAGATCTAGAATAACAAACATAAGGGTGTCTTTTGAAAGCCAGAGCTGCATGCAAGACCACACAAAGCACATCGTGGAATTTACAGGGAGTCATAAAAGTGTGTTCCACAGGGAAGAATGACTATTTCTGTAGGAATGTTGGACTATTTAAAAGTCCTATAAATTTTTCCGTATTTTTTATATAGGGACTTTAATTGGTCATCTTTTTAGTTCAGACAGTTTAATTTTATGATAACAAAGGTATGTTGTAATGTTTACAGTGTACCAGTGTGTTTCGTCTGTATACTTACGTCAATGATGCCCGACCGAGGCAATAGGGGCTGAGGGCTTCTTTGTATTGGTCTGTTTTTGCTTTAGAAATTCACAGAACTGAGCAGTTATGCCATTATTTACAGATTACTTTTGAATAAATTCAAAGCCAGAGGTAAAGGACCATCCTTTGAAGAGCTATGTTTGTCAAAGGACGGCAATAGAGTACTCTGCAGCTGCTCCTCTGCTGCACAGCTTTGCTTTTTACTCACAGCAGGACTATGCGTAGAAAAAAAAGCTGGAAAACCACTTCGACGAGAATGTTTGATTACAGAAACAAAAGTTTTGGAATAGCCAGAACCATCTGCACTTTTGAAGCAGCGTGAGCTGGGAGCTGTGGAATCATTGCAGCCAGTAGCACTGACAAGGGACTGAGAAGAAGACTGGATGTTTTGAATTTCTGTCAAATTAAAATGATAAGTGAAAGATCAATTATATCAGGACTGTAAAAGACTCCTTTTTGGGGGGATTTTTGACCTTACATTTTCTGGAGAATAAAGACCTCTCAGATTACAAGGAAAAATCCTGTTGGAGAAACAAAGTTGTTCATCAATGGAGTACTTTTCTCTTTTTTAAACCTATTTCTATTAATGTAAACATTGCATTTTTGCTGGTATATGTGCACTTGACTTGGAAGCAGCTATAGTGTTTTGGATAGGAGAGTGACCTAACAGGTTGTTATGAAGTGCTTTTTATATTTTTTGTTTGAACATTGTGATTCCAAACCATGGAATACCAGTGACATAAGGTACTATAAGAAGCACAGGACCACTCCTGCTTCTGTTTTCATTTTGTGACACACATTTTCACCACATTTATTTTAAAAATAAAAAGCCTGGATTAAAATCAAAATGGAATCCTTGTACACATCAGTGACTGATCAGAATAGCCCGTTTCATTTCGACTCTTCGAGCGATCCCCTCCACGGTGACAGCGGCCCTCAGACCTGCCTGTTTGACGCACTGATGGCTGTCCTCTACCTGGGCGTTTGCGTCGTGGGACTTGCTGGGAACTCCCTGGTGATCATTACCATATTGAAATTGGACAAGATGGAATCAGCCACCACAGTTTACATCTTCAATCTGGCTTTGGCAGATGGCTTGTTTATGGTGGGGATGCCCTTTATAGCACTGCAGAATTTCCATCAACGCTGGGTGTTTGGCGACTTGGCATGCAAGCTAGTTATGATTCTCGATGGGATCAACCAGTTTACCAGTGTATTCTGCTTGACCTTCATGAGTATTGACCGCTACATGGCAGTGGTCAATCCCATCAGGTTCTCCAAATGGTGTACCCCAAGGAGAGCCAAGATGATCAGTGTCTTTCTGTGGTTTTTCTCCCTGTTGCCTGTTCTACCCATGGCGGTCCATTTCACAGTGATAGGCAGTACGTGTTCTTTAAATCCCCCGGGGTCGTTTGACATGTGGTGGTTAACCTTCATTATCTACACATTTACTCTTGGCTTTGCTTTACCTTTTATTGTCATGACAGCATGTTATGCTTCAATGCTGGTCAATTTAAAGTCTGGCATCAGTAGATTTCAGAATAGGGAGACCCAGCGCCTAGAAAAAAAACTAACCAAGATGGTTGTTGCTGTGGTGTTGGTCTTTGCTATATGCTGGTTGCCTTTCTATGTTTTCAATTTCTATTTCCTCCGGCATCCAGAAGATTTAACACCAGCCTTTGCAAAGGGTTTTGAATTTGTTGTGCTTCTGTCTTACTCCTGGAGCTGTGCTAACCCCATACTGTATGCCTGTCTCTCTGAAAAATTCAGGAAACACTTTCACACACTTCTGTGTCCCAAGAAAAGATCCCAAAGTCTCCATTTTGACACCAATGCCGATGGCTATGACTTGCATGACTTGAGTGGAATGGAGATGATCAGTATGGTGTAGATAATTGCTCCTGCAACATTGAGCTCTTTTGAGAATGCACAGACACCAGCTTTGGTTTGGATTATATTTCCTATAATCTTTTTAGTATTCCCCTTTGACTCACTTCCAAAGTTTGGCCTTTTTGTACGTCTGTATTAATGCTAAAACTATTTGTTTTACATTTTGAAACTCCTTTTCCCAGACTTCGTTTGAAAGGGCTTTGTAACTAACAATCCATGTGAATAATGATATGCTGTAATCAACAGACATTAAATTTTATTTTTATGTTTTAGTATTATTATGCTGTATTTAGTCTCATACTGCAAAGTGTCACATTAGCTGCATTTGTATTATTAATTCACATCAATTTATGTATCTGAAACACAGAAAGAAAAAAATAAGCAAAACAAGTTTCAGTATTAACACAAAAAAGAACATTTACAGAAATGCCTCGTTAAGGGCGTCATTACTTCACCAACACTGCAAATTACTTGGCATGCCAGCTTTCCTGCTCCCCATCTGTCTTTCAGAAGCCAGCAACTGAGCAACAAGGGAATATGAGTGATGGCAGCATATGAAATGGATACAATAAGAAAGATGTTCACAATACTGTAGCACTCTCGGGATAAATAAGACAAAGAAAAGTCAAGATATGGTCTCTGCATATTCTCTGGTTCTAGAAGATGTTTTCTTTAATCCTGCCTTGTTTGCCATACATCCATCCATACACTTACATGGTCACTTCTTAAGCAAATGACATGCTTTTTCAGGCACATATTGCATACATTCCTGAAATCACCTTCTCTAGCAACATTCAGGTTGCCTGTGCACATGCAATGGGAGAGCAGGACATGGAACTCAGGGTTAAAGATATCACTATTAGGGTGCTCCCTAAGAAAAAAATAAAGTCTTTACTCAATTCTACTGGCTCCTCGGTTCAGTGCTTGATCTGACTTACAGTATGAAGAACTATGTGGATGAGGCATGCATCACTACAAGCCCGGAAATGAAGCTAGCCAGGTGCCAATTTAACCCTAACAATGCTGGTGGACTGGAGAAACTGGGTTAACCACCTTGCTCAAAGATAAAATAGTAGTGTCTGTAGTGGGAATGCAGACCCACAATCCTATGTTTAGGGACTGTGTCTGTCTTTGAAATTCCTGGTAATATTCCCCAAATTTTTATAGCTTTTCATAATCAAATAATCTGTTTTATTTTATTCTCTACTTATTTTTCAATGTTACATTTTTTGTCTGTAAGCAGCTAGGCCAATTTGATTACTTGTTATTTCACATGTTATGAAAGTAACAGAAATGACTAACCAAATGCAATGTTTATGAGGCTGTGTTTTTTTTTAAATCAAAATATGGTGTAAGAAGTACTGTATGTCTGTTAGATTTACTCCGCACTTGAAATTAGTTCAGGTTTTGGACTGATGGAAATATGAATCATTTTTATTTCATCAAACTAATAGACCAAGTCATTAAAGCTTGTGTTCAGAGTCTACTGTAATGTGCTTGGGTCATTAAACTAAAAATGCATTTGTGAGTTTAAATGACCTCTTTCCAGAGTTATACCGTCATTATCAGTTTAAGATATTTCTTATTTGGAGTCAATGTCTCAGATTTATCAGCTGTAAAAAGCAGACATATTTTACCCTTACAGAGAGAACTTTTCTTGCAACATAGAAAGAATACAAATTCTCATAAAAAAATCAAGATACATTTTTGTACCTTTTAGTTATTGGACACATATATTTAATTTCTTTTTAATTATGGTTCTACTAGTCCATTGCTTTTTTTCTGGTAAGCTTTAAAAGTAAAATAGACTTAAAAATGTAAATATTTTCAAATTAATTTTCATTACCTATGTTCTTACTTGCTGTCCTATTTCATTTCAGCTGTTCAAATGTGAATGTTTAGAGCTCACTTTTTCAATTCTCACTAGATGACATGAAAACACCTCTAAATTATAGGTTCTTACCTCTTTATTAATGTCTTCAACAGATGTGTCTTTCAGGACAGAGTTTAAGAAAAAATATTTTTAATTTAAGTGCCCAATAAATAAAATAAAAAAACCATGAAAACACATTAGTCAACTTAATGCATTAATGACTTAGTGGTGATTTGCCTCTTTGCTGTATGTGTTTCTCAAACTGATCCCTTACTTGAACTGATTCCTATAATGTCTAGTTTTAAAATGTGAAGGATGTTTTGTATTAAAAGTAAATAGAGCAGATAACTTCTGCACAGCGTTTTAAATCAGATGATGTTACAGATCCTAAATCTAAAAAGTGATAACTTGTTATAGAAACAAGTACAGCTGTTGATTTAAGGTAATTGGATTATTATTATAACTTCTAAATACAGTGCAAATGTTCTCCTGTGAATGCATATGTAGGTATAAACTTTAAATACATTAAAATTACTAATAAACTCCAGGTGTGTGTTGCTTTTTTAATCATACCACTTTCACAATCCTTGAATCCTACAGTGCCTCTGTAATGAAAAAAACAATGAAAATGGTAAAGTAAAGTTACAGTGCAATTAAAGGCACATAATTATCAATATAATTATTAGACAAAAAAGTAAATTGCAGAACCTTCACAAATGTTAAAGGCATGTATTTTAGTTATTTCCAGTGGTTAAAACCTAGTCTATAAGTACTTTAAGAAGTCTGTATTTTGAGTACAGGTTGTCTAATCAGGTAATGATGTCAGGAATTGTAGCAAAGCTGCTGGTTTGGACCATGAGAAAGGTCTTTTCTGGAAATGTTCTGTTTAGTACCAAAAGTATCCAAGTCCAAAAACTTTAAAAGAAGCCGTAGTCTGGGTAAAGTGCAAGAGTTTCGAGAGCTAAAAAGTCGATCAGATGAAAGTGTCTTTCCAAAAAGGTTGGATGAAGGTTGAGCTCGTGAGAGGGACCCTCAATATTGAGCGGAGACTGAGTGGAGTGAGAAGGTTTAAATAGGGAAGATCGTGTGGAATGATAATTGATTGATTAGTGCGTGAAAGTCTACGGTAAGAGGTGCTTGTGGGTCATTGGTCAATGCGGTGACATCTAAGTGCTCGTGTGCGGTTTGTGACAAATTATTAGATAATGTAATGAGAAAAGGCCAGGAAATAAAAGAATCCAGATTTATATGTCCCATTCCAAAATATGATGACAGTGTTACTAACCCTATAGGGTCACAAAACATTGGCAAATGGTGACATAGGGCCTAAGGGAATTATAAACTGAATTACTGTATATGATATTTAGACTTCTTTATTACTATGAGTAAACAAAATGCTTTTTGCTGCAGTGTGACATTTGTTCCAGCTGATGTAAATGTAAACTCAAAGGATGGCAAAGGATTCCAATCATCCAATTCTTTGCTGATGCAATGAAGGTATTTCTTTATTGGTTATATGTCAAGTGCTTTATATACATTATTCTTCCCACAAAGCAGGACCTAAGAAAAAGGAGGCATAGTGAGAAAGACAGAAAACAGCATCTAGGAAAATAATAAATGTGAATTAAAGAGGCTTCATTTCATTTACATGGAAAGACCAATTTCAGTTTAGAGAACAAACTCAAAAGACTTTGTGCTGCTCCTTGTTTGTCTTAATTAAGAAGCCTGCAGCCTGTAGTCCCTTTATTAATCAGTTTCCAAACACAAATGAGGACAGGACATCCTGAACAAAGAGCTTTGTTGTGTTACAGGCAAAGCAGGTTTTGTAGGATTCAAAACCTACAGAATTTATTTTCTCTGTGGCCCAGGCAAAAATATGTATTTGTGATCCCTCGCATACTCCACTTAGTATTCTTCCTGTGTGCTGTCTCAGTACCTGTTAAACCTAGTAACATGCTTATGAAGCAGTCGATGGAAAAGATTTGTTATTACTACCGCAAGTCATTTGCTAAAATGGTATTGTAGAAGTGCTTTTTCTTATCTCTTCCCAAAACTTACAGCAACTGTTCCTGAGCCTTCACTATCGTCATATCAGTGTAGCTAATTACTTGATAATGTTTTAATGTTTGCAGCACCACTGCATGTACATTAACCCTTCCTGGCTGCAGCTTGGTGCTGCCTGCTTGACTTCTTGACAGGCCTAACAGCAGGGGCACCCTAGAGATACTAGTCACAAACCTTCTGGGCCTTGTGAAAGTCAATCAATTAATCCATGAGATTCACCGCCAAAAGGGACTCTGTCTGTCTGTGTGGGTGGACTGTGTTTAAAGACTTTGAGAAACAAAAAATCTCTAAAAAGAAGTGCTAAGCACAATAATGCTATACATTTCTTCTGGAGTCCAGAGAATCAAGACAAGTGTTGATGTTCTTTAAAAAGAGGAGCTCAAAAACTAGTCACAACTTTGGCCCTGCTGACAATCACTTGAGTTAAAAATCTGGGTTTGTTTGCCAGCTGCTGTTGGTGACTACCCAATGAAAACTGGATAGGAAATGTATTATTTGGAGGTTTGGTGAAGCCTTCATTAATTAATTTCAGAGCTGGAATAATAGAAACAAAAACTCTTAATTGCTAGAAAAATGAACATCATGCATGGCAGGAAACACAGAATGGGTTTTAATCCTAGTGAAAATCTCAAAAGTAGCATATCAGTAAATACAGGGGTTATCTCAGCAAGCACAAGACAGATTTTCATAAAACTCACCTCTTGGCAAATGAAAAGAAACTATCTAATGAGTGTTAAAGTAAATACAGTACAATAAATCAAATTAGACAGAGAAGGATAATCTGCAGAGTATGTCCACTATCAATTAAAATCAACCATTTAAACACTCAAATCTCCCACAATGTTCACACTGCTAACATAATCCCTTCTTGGCCTAAGGGCCATGATTCTCTTGACTGCTGCCATCAGCTGCAATGTATTTATTGATTTAAAGAGAAAACTTCTGATAATCAATAAATCAAGGAATCACAATTCTACCTTTCATTTTCTGCCTTCCAATTGGAAGGCTCTGTTCACAAAGCACAGTGGATACCACACAAATCTCAGAAATGTGGATAAAAATATAGATGTAGCAACTGTACGATCTAAAATGCTTAAGTTCCTTAAATAGATGCCCGAGCTTTGGGAAAACCAGGTTCAGACTGTGTTTGACATTGATGACCATGTTATGAATAACATGAATGGGATGTTTCAGTTTTAAAAAAATTCAACATTTCATGACGTATTCAGGGTGCCAGTCCATCAAAGGGCACACACAGACACACACTCACACCAGGGCCAATCTTTCCAAAAGCCAATTAAGACATGCTACCAGCATGTCTTTGGACAGTGGGAGGGAAGCCACATGAATACATAGAGAATTTATAAACTCCATGGAAATAGCACCCCATGGCCAGAATTGAACCCAAGGCCTCAGCACTGAAAGACAGCAATTCTAACTGTGCCACCCTCTGTTTTTCATACTGTATGTGTTAAAAATAAGACTGCTTATTAATGGTATAGACAGGGGTGTGTCATGCTTATTGGGTTGTGAGACATTAGATGCAGTTTGGCACTCCATCATTGATTAACGGATATGCTCTCGCTGTTAAAAACGTTTACTTCTCATTTATCCAGCTGCTTCAAAAGATTTCATAGTGAGCCTGCATTTTAGCCTCACGATGAGGCCATAAAATATAGATTTTTCCCCCTTTTTAAAATGTCTACTGGGTGATTTTCTTTTTATTGATAGTAAAGATATTTCCTTGAAATGCAGTCACTAGTTTTCAGCCAATCTAGGACAAAGTCTACAGTACATGGAGACACACACGACGGTCAATGTTTCTGCATTTGATTGAATTCCTGGAATCCAATTTATTTACTGCATGTTTGCTTTTTTAAAGATGATGGATGATGGATGTACAGTAGAGACCACCGTTTGAAAGGAACGGATCCACACAACAATTTCTGACGTTCAACAAAATGGGGTCTTCCCATTCAAATGGATGGTTGAAGTCAGCAAGGAGATTGGCTATCATGTAAGGCCATGATATTGAAAGAATGACTGATAATCAGTTTCTTGGAACCCTTCATTTACCATGCTTTAACGCATCCTGTCTAAAACATATGGAAATACAGTAGGTCCCTTCACATTGTCTTTAAATTTATATTGTCTTCTGGTTTCTCAGACCAGATTGTCTCGTGAGGAATCCAATGTAGGTGTGGTTTCTAGACAGTAGTTCATGCTGCAATGTCAAAGCTGTGGCTTTGATTGATCGTATTAACATAACATAACATCACTTTATTAGCCCCTATACAATTTCTCGCATTAGGAATTCGACTTTTCACATACCCCAGCTTGCTCTCCATGAGACACAGACACACAGACAGGGAGAGAGAAGCTTGGGAAGCTTATTAAAATAGGGTACAATTCTTTACATAGTGTTTTGTATAATGCTGTTAAAGCTGATACCCTAGCATCGTTCAAGAAGATCTTTAGATCAACTTGCTGCCAATAAAAGGACAAGATAGATGGACCAAGTGTTCTCCTCTCATTTGTAACCTTTCATATTTTCCTAGTAACTACATTTGAGAACAAATAGCCTACAATAATGTAGAAATGCCAAGCCTTTTTACTCATGATGCATCTTGTAAATAGTGTAACATATTATGCAATTAATTAAGAAAATACCTAATAGGATTCACAGAAATGCCTAAAAGGTGGCACATTTTATACAAAGGGTCTGGAAATCTAGAATATTATTGGCAATAATTTAGCATTTAGTCTTGTGATGTGGAGGCTGTAAGGTGAGCACGAGGGCTCACCGAGGATGATGTCATGGAGTCTATTTAAGTACAGATACAGAATGTGAAAAAATAAGCATCCCCAAAATCACATGTCAGATCTGCGTCTTTTGTGTGGCACTCTTGTCTAACCAGGTTCAATAATCTAATTCCTCTGTCAGTCATATCATACCAGTCCTACAGGCTGGAAACAGTATAACCATTGCTGATAAAGGTCAGCCTGAGTATCCTAAAGCAGAGAAACAAAATTAATATAGAAAGAAATCACGACAATTTATTTAAAGCAAAATGCCACACTCACTCTGAACATGTTTGTGAGGACTGTCATACTAGCAGTAAATATTACAGTGAGAACTGTAAAATACAGACTGCATTGAGATTCCTGGATATAGGCAAATGACATAATCTCCCGAGACCTGCACTGTGCACACCTCAAGGTTTTACCTACTTAAATCTGAAAGACATTTTGATAAAACAAATGATAAACCAATACCAGACTTACACTCTGTGCTAAAACATAAGTAGAGTAACACGTGATCCATAAACAAACAAAGTTATCAAGAAAAAAGATTACATTCTTACAATGCAATACTCTCTCTAATGACTTTGGTGTTCTGCTAATGGTAGACAATATTCACTTCAGCTACCAATAACATCCATGTCAGCATCTCTTTGCTATAGATACCATTTTATTTTTTTCTGCATCATGACTCTGTGATTATGAATTCCTTCGTCTTTGTTTTTTTTACAGGAATGTGTGTTTGTTTGACTTTCGTCTAAGCTTTAATCTGTTCTGATGGTTAATTTATTTTTCCGGGGGCTACAAGTGGTGTGCGTAATGAAAATTCTCAATACAGAAAGGGAAGAGCACCACTGATCACTGAATGTGCAATCCCATCGAAGGCAGGGATGAAATTCTGAAAGCTATGAACTTATCAAAAACACTGAATCTATGACAACTAGAAATAGTCAGGGCCACCAGACAGACATTCCCAGGAGCTGGGGTTAACTATGTTTTTAACAAAGTGTTACGAAGCACTGTACTACACCCAAATGCCAAAAAATGAAGAATCAACACAAATTTATACTGGATCTCTTGTGATACAGGCTAATAGAACAAGGCTTTCATACTCAGTTAAACTCCATGATATTTACAGATGATCATAAATTCCGCCCAGCTGTGGGAGCCTACATCACAGTTATGAAGAAAAATGTCATAGTAGAAAAGACAAATTTTATACGTGTGACTTCATTTGTTTTCCCTTTTATCCTAATGCAGGGTCTGAAATTGCTTGTGTTTTAAGAACATTTCAAGCCACTGCAACAACACTTTTGCATTATTTAAACGACATGACAGCATTTCTGCTGGGAAAAGCATAAAGTGGCATTATTTTTCACTCTGAGTCCATGAAGCGGAAAATAACGTATTCAAGGAATAAGGTCCAGCCAAATATAGAACACTGACACAATCCAAGTTCTCCAAAAGAGGGAGTGATCTAAAGCAAAGATAGCACTACTGTGACATTATTAAAAGTGCAATAGAGACAGCTACATTAACAATTTGTTTTATTGGGCAACAGAAAGAAAGTTTTTGACAGCTGTGTATGCTTTTAGAGGAAAGCATTAGAGATGTGAAAATAACATCAGAATAGTTTTGTGGAGACATATTCTAAAACAACAAACTGTTCGAGCAAGATTCAATTCCAAACAAGCATAAAACCCTGTCTTTTCAGCCTCTACATGTTATTTTATCTGTTACATTGTGTATACATACTGTTAAATTACATTATTATTTTTCCACTGTGGTACATAAAACCCACTTAACCCCAAATGACTTATACGGGCAGTTTATCCTCACTAGGAAAACTGGCAAAATGGCTTTACCTAAAGGGGCAACTGAAACTTGCAGTGCAAAACTAAACAGTCCAATATACTGTATTACACACAGCAAGCAGAAGAATCCCGCAGATCATTTCAGTTCCAGCACACTATCCGGAATTGAGTGCAACAATGGAATTTGTCAAGACAAATGATAAATGTTGGTGTATATGTGTACTTAGTCATAGAGAGAGTCTGTTTTCTGGTCACCTGTTTTCTTTCACAGCTGGACATCTTGTAAGTCTGAATCTTTATAGCCATACCTATCCATTACACAAGGATTAGAATCTCTGCTCTTTTGGAAGTAGGCCATTTGGCATTGTTTGCACTGCACACTAAACATATTACATTCTCTGTGACTGCTACAGTGAAAATAATATCCCTTTGTATTGCACAGCCACCCATTTTGACCTGCTAATCTAATTTTTGATGTCTCCCAGAGCCCACCAGCAAGGTTTCCCAGTCCTTAGACGTCTGTCACCCCAAGACTTGCCATACAAAAAATAAATAAGTTACACCTATTACATATAACAGGACTACGTCTGAGAACCATTTTAATTCTACATATAGATATACATTAAATATAGTACATACAAAATATTATGACACATAAAATGAAGGCCAGCTTCCTTTCCATAATAAATCAATTAGAACAATTATTGTTTCAGGGCTCCTAAAGCTCAGTCTGACAGGCTGGGTTAGTAAAGGCAGGAGTTCAGAATGCAGACAGAGCACTGTGACCCAAGCATTGCCGACGTGAACTTGGGTCATGTCCCCTAGCTGACAGTGAGCTGGAACTCTGATGTGGTACCAAGGGATTGTTAGAGCATCACTGGAAATGGGTGGAACGATGCCAGCGAGACTAAAGGAATAGTAAGTAAAGGAGCTCTTACTGGGTAATTGAGTCTTACAAACATCTGGCAGTCCCAAACTAGGGGAGAATAGAATAAGGAGTAATTATTGGTTATTTCCAATGTAAAAATCAAAGAACAAGTTTCTAAAAACAAAGACTTTTTTGAATACACAATACATTTTTGCTCCAGAACAAAACTGAAAAGATCAAAAAATGGAAAAAAAAATAAATACAATCCCCATCCTTGCTCTTTTTGTTCTACTTATTTTCATTTATTTTGTCATTTAAACATTGGAATTAGCTGAACTATATAAGAAGCTTTGAACATAGTCCTGTAGTTGTAGCAAAGACAGATAGATAAATGTATTCTTTTTGCACCTCACACAAAGTTCGGGGTTTGCAGTTGATTTCAGATATCTGTTCATTTTCTCAGTTATTCAGTTTAAGTCTCGTATAAGGTTTTTGAATAACAGGCTGATATTGTACTGCTGCTGATTTCTGTATTGCACCATAATGAGAAAATGGACGAGTGAGACTTGAGAGGCGTCATTTGCACTGTATCACAGCAGACAACTCAATAATGTGGCTTATATGTGTTGCAAAAGTACAGTTTCCACAGTAATGGGGACAATTCTTCTATGCAGTTTAAATTCTCCAATCCCAGTTTCACTTGTACTTAAACCCTTGCTTAACTTCTTTTAAGTATATATTCTGTGAATGACTGCAATAGAAAAGGGAGGTGAAGGTGATGAATCTCTCTGATTGCAAGCAAATTGAGTCTGCATAGATTTGTGCAGCATAAAATCAGATCCCCTCTTTTTTGGGCAGGGAATCCATGGTACTTCTTTGTATTGGGTTTTCAGATGTATTATCTCAGCGCAAGTTATGCACCATGTCTATAGCTTATAGGAGACACAAAACATGGAACAAAATAACTCATGGTACTGTAAGTTATGGAGGAGAGAGTGGTTCATGGAATCAGAAGCTTGAGCATTGCAGTATTTTACTTTCCTAGAGCTCTTCAGAGTCAGAGAGTGAGACAGATGGGAATGTTACTTCTGGGATTATTTCATTGGAGGCTGGTGTAAGAGACAGCTCACGCAGGGTGACCCTTGGCCAGCCCTGTGAACAGACTGCTCAGAACCTGGTGCCTGGAGCCTTAAACATTGATCTGCTCTTTTAAAATGGATCTAAAACCACAGTACACAGTGTGAGTGTGAGGTGCATTTAGCCTATAACAAACAGACAGAATGTGGTTGGGCTATGTGACAGATCAGCTGGAGTAAAATAAGCCAGGGAAGACTTGGAGCAGTGTTTTTAATCAAATCATCACCTAGCTATGATCTGAAATCGAGGGAATATTCACATGAGAATTAAACAGATAGGTTGATGTATTTAACTGCAAAAGAACAGTGGATGGAAAGTGGGCGCCCATTTTGAAAGGAACAGATCTGCTAGGCTCCGTGAAGTCACAGTAGGCAACAGTTGCATCTATTGGGCAGTATAAATGTGGCTTTTCTGTATCTTTCTGGGTCTACATGTAGCCATGTAAAGGCTATGATGGACTAGGTGGCTGCAAAGACACTAAGCTTTGACACAGAATAAATTAAATTGTAAAGGGCTGTTAAAACCCATGTACAGTACAGTACAGTAAATGAAGAAACAAAACACTGATGGACCAAGGACATTCATGTCAAAACGTCTGATCAACACCAAAGCTTAGGATGGAGAAGACAAAAGGCACTTTCTCTTCAGGGAAAAGTACTCTTGCACTGAAATGAGTGGGAAATGTGCCAATTTGACCTTCAGGGAAATAACGTCCTTAGCCATTCCAGTGGCTTTTCCTGTATGGATCTTGTAGCCAATGTGCAAGTTTTGCAGCTTAGAGAGTGCAGGATCACAAGATTTCTATGGCACATATTTCCTAGACTCAAGTGGAGGCATTATAATGGATAAGCCATTACGGTACTGAATTGCATTCTGCTAAACAACCATAAGCTTGCCAGGCAATGGCGCCCCCTATTGTTCAATTAATGAGTGAAGAATGGGGCACCATCCACTCTCTCTTATTGAAGTCATATACAGTATATGGGGAAAATAACTGACCAGTCAGTATTAATCAATTAGCAATGAAAAGCTAACACATTCATACAATACTGTTTGTTCAAACTATTTCAAATACTCATCTATTGCTGTTTCTAAACTCAGTCACACAAACAACTGTTAACTGCAGTCTGGAGTCACTTCTTCACTGAATTTCACGTTTTTTTTGTCTGATTTTCATTACGTTTTTCTTGAGAAAACGTTTGTGTATATAAATGCAGCCCCTTTCAGACCAAATATGTCGTACATTGTGCAGTAGCGCTATAAATCTTGGATATTTGGGTGTATCAGAATGTACTGCAAATACTGAGAAAATCAAGAGGAGACATGGCTCACTAATTCGTGGTACCACACAAACCTCCTACACTGCTATTTGACCACACTATTTAATCGTTTTCTGTGTTGGTGGACATTATATAAAAATAGAAAAATGTAATGCGAAATGAGAACAGTAGTGTTTTAAGTTTGGGACGGTTAATTCGCGATTATGATCACATATGAACCGCAAATCTGTTACCCGTTTTAAAAAAATGTGTTAAACGAACTGCAGAGATAGTTAAGAATTTGCGTTGTTAAGCCTTGATAATGAAATAAATAACTCAAATAAATGTTTTTTTTTTTGGGGGGGGGGCTGAAAAGGAATTAAGCCGCAGCGTTTGGACAACTGTGTGCACCCCACCCCCAAAAGACCTATAAAATGTATTTGCTTCTGCAGCAGGTGATCGAGCGTCCCCCGAAAACCTGACGTCAAGACGAACTGTGAAGACTCTGGTGCTCTGGTAACAGATGAGGCTAGGGACATCGTGCCGGTAGCTCCATCTGCGTTTCAAGCTGGAACCTACCGCAAAAGCAGCCCACAGCTGTTTCCAAGCGCACTCGCCTGATGGTATCAGGTAGTAAAAAGAGATGAGCGCGCTATCGCTCCCTTTCTTCCCACGGCAGCATAGAAGGAACGTCTTCAGATCAAAAAGGCTTTGGGTACAGGCGGCTTCGACGCAGAACGACGAGTCTCTTTTGGCTCCGAGCTTTTAACTGCTATCTGGTTATATTCATTTAGACCGGCAAGATATGTTCGGAAACAAATAGTGACTTTGTCATTTTTTTTCAGGGAAGAGCACTTGTTACTTTTTTTCTTGGCAATCGTGTACCACTTCGAAGAAATCCTTCTTTAGTGTTATAATACGAGCTTTTAGCGCACAGGTGTGTGATAAAGAAGAATACATAGAACCGTAGGGATTTGAAGGCAGAATGGTGGCATTCTTCGGATTTTTTGGCTTTTCCATAACTGTTAACCAACCAAAAAATGTTCAATGTATATTTTTTCCTCACTAGAATGGATTCCATGTGGCAAGAGGGTTTTGCATCCTTTTAACTAAAGGTAAGAAGTTGAATAAGGCACTTTTATGTGGCTGTAACTTCTCACTTTAATACTTGTCAGCATGTACTGAACGATTTTTTTTCTGTTGCTATGGTGAAATTAACATACCTTCAAATGCAGGCTTTGCTCAATTCTTTCCTTTATTTTCCTCAGCCTCCGCAATATGTTCACTTAGGAGCACACATAACTAATTTCGAAGTGCTATTTAGTTGAGATGTCATACGTTCGTGGACAAAAGAATCTTTTGAATTTTATTTCAGTTATAACTGAACCAAGACTACTTCATTTTACTGACTGTTTTAGTATTGTACAGTAGTTTACTGCAATGGCTCAGCTTGACATAATGCTTTGAAATGAATCGCAACAGAGAATACATTTAAATACCATTCTCAGGTAAGGTTTTAAGAATGTACAGGTGAGAATTTAAGAAGGTTTTTCACTTTTAAGTGTCCATGTTATTTCATTGCACGACGCGATTCTTGTTTGTTGTATAAGATGCAATTAAATGTAAAAGTAAAACCTGTTCACTAATGATTCAATAGGTTATGACATATGGGGTTAGACTATATACTGTACTCTTAGTTTTTTTGCGCGCTCTGTGCGAAATTTTCTGGTTAGAAATGCATGACAGTTTTATTTTTCAAAGGCTGATAAAAATAATCTTGAAAATGAATTTCGTGCGTCATCTCATTGTTCTGAAATCTATTATATTTAAGATTCTATCTAACGGATAAAAAACAATAATAATACAACCTCACAAAGAGTTACAATGCAGTGGTTTGATTAAGTCTGGACTTTTTTGGATCATACTACCAAGGACTTGAATGCAATTGTCCGGACTTGTGAAAATGATCAGTCCCTGAAGATGCGGTTTAGACGGTCGATTTAATAGACCACTGTTTCTAAGTCTGGTCACTCTTTTCCTGGTTTACTGATAGTAATCGTCCTTACTTTTATACTGCGCTTCAATTATTACAAACCACTCGCTAATCTCTTAAAAATCACGGATATTTCTGGTAGAAAAACTGATACTATTTGGGTAGATTTTTTCCCACCATTTCTTGAACGTTTTGATATTACATCAATCAAATAGTGCATTAGGTTCTGTTTTTGGTGTTACTGGAGCATAAAGTGAACATAGTGCAGTCATATCTAGATAATAGGCTACAAATGGGCAGACGTTTTTATGTTTGCAAGACCCTGAGTCATCATTACGCACTAGAAGGTTCTATACTATGTTTCTAATACAATTGCTTACTTCAGAATAAGCCACTTTGAGGGGTCCAAGTTCAAATTGTCTTGTATTCTCTTAAACCATAATTTTTGTTCTGTATCTCTTAAGTGTAATTTATTACAATCTAACTCATACTGTGTTCATTATACTATATAATATTCTTTCTTTTCTGGTAAACTTTTGAAATATTTTTGCAGGTGCATATCTTTGCATGAAAAGGATTGGTTTAACGAGAATACAGTACGTACAGGAAGATTTTTACTAAGCTATGTTTGCCTTTAATTAGAATAAGTAATACCTTGACTTGATATATATATACGGTATTGTCCTGAAATTCTCGAATAAAAAATGTTATGTTAAGCAGATCTTAAGTCAATTCTCTAAATTGTGCTTGTCAGTGGGAGTGGAGAATGAATGCAAATAGTCTTGTCTTCTCCCAGGAGATTTATAGATCCCATGGCACACATTTAAAAAAAAGCAATCAGTACAGATCACTACCTCGAACATACATCAGAAAAGCCCTCAAATTTAGCCTGCAGCAGTTATTTCCCAGATCTCTACAACTGTATACTCTATGCAAAGGGAATACTGCTGCGCACTAATGGTAAGTTTTCTATAACCTGAGAATCATTTTCTATTGCTACAATGATAAAATCATGAGCTAGTTTACCGTTTCCTTCTATATCCCTCACTATAGTTTACTACTATAGTTTAAGAGAGCTGCCATACAGATGACAGATGCCTGTTGTTTTCACTTGCAGGGTTGCCTGAGCTAAACCAGGCATATCAATTAGAGACCCCCAGTTCATACTGTTACCTTTATCTTATTCATTGTATAATTACTTAATGATAACTGCTACTAATTGGTATAATTTTCTTTGTACACTCATGAAACCAGTCCTTTATCAAAACACTGCTAAGAAGTATCCGCACAACCAGAATAATCTATTACATTTTTAAATTTTAAATATTGAAGTATTCACTCTTGTACTACTAATATTAATAATATATTAACATTGCATGCTGATGTACAGACATAAGTATATATATATAAAGAAGACCCTCTCTTCATCTTATTTATGCAATGTCATAAAGAAAGCAATTCATTAAGTTTCTCTTGTATGTTATTCGAGAATCAGCAGTTCCATTATACAGTTGTCTATTCACTACTAATTTGTTTTCTATTAAACATTCAGCACTGAAATTGCAGTAAAATCATGTTGATCATTTTTCATTCTTCTGTAAGCATCATCGTAAAATAAATCTATTTTGCCATAGGTGATTAGAATCTTCAAGTGTTATGATATGCTGATTCCACTACTTATCTCTGCAGATAAACTGCCATTTATTTAAAATCTCAAGTATTTAGTATTAAGTATTTTTTTAATTCAGGATAATCGAGAAAACAATAAAAGTATTTGTGTTTGAATTCTTCTGGTATAGCCTTTGTTCTTTGTTTCTACATACTTCATAGATAGCTAAAGGCTGTGATTACGGTGCAGATTTTGATATGTACAGTACCACTTGTAGACTGTTAACATCAAAAGAAAATAAAAATGTCAGAGCATAAATCCCACTGCTACAAAACAGAACTGGGAAATAACATCATAAAAAATTAACATCAGATTATTCCATAAAGGTTGTTTGCGGGTTAATATTGATGAAACCATAATTAAGTTGAAAAGAGAGTGTTTAATCCTCACTGATTAATATAATATTTTATATACTGTCCCTGTGCATCCAACTGTTTAACATAGGGTTTACATAATAGGTTCACTGAACAAAAATGCTTTGAAATGGACAAAGAAAAGGAACTAGTAAGAAGTGTTTGATCTGGAAACTGATGCATGAAAAAATAGGAACTATAGGAAATCAATACCCGGTTCTATGGGCTCATTCATGAGAGAGATGCAAGGCGGGATCCTTAGACACCTTTCCCAAGGGGACAAAACTCAGAAGGAGAATTAAGAGTAGCCAGTCTAACCTAACCTCCATGTCATTTGCATTTTGCACCTGAAAATCCATACAAACACAGGTATAACATATAAACTTCACACAAGTTGTGCTCGGCGGAGATAATCTGTTAACAACTACTAGACAGATGTAAATACTATTTTCCCCCTACACGTGCAAGACAAAATAAAATCAAAAAGCACATTAACATTAAAATCCTGAATAGAAGGAAAAGATACTGGAAGTGTTTGTCTCAAATCTAACAAACAGAAACACGGTCAATTAAAAAGATACACCATGTCAGAGTCTGAAATTTTACACGAGGCACCAATGCAAAAAAACATGAGCTCTGAAAAGCCAGTTTGGAATAAAATGAAAAAGAGCAATTTCCTCAACCCTTAATTGCACCAATATTAGTAAAAATTCAGAAACGTTAATAAATTGATTTTAGTCCTGTGCAGATTGGGCTTTTGTCAATAACTTTTAATATCTAGAGTACTTGAATGAAATAACTCACTCATGCAAACGTTATAGGTTTTCTCTGATCTATCCATGCATCACATTTCTTAAAGTCTTTTCAAATTAGCAGCATCATTTTGGTTGAGTAGTGACCAAAATTGAGCACAACTATAGAGAATATCAACATATTAGGGTTTGCCACATGATATAATGACCTTCTACAGGGAAATCAGTGCCACACTTTACCTTGAAACATTTACATTATATCAGCCTTTTCATATATTTTCCACTTGGTCTTATAACCTGTAGCTTTTATGGAGGTCGTTTATTGACTTAATTGTTTTATACCAGCATTAAAGACTGTTGAGTGATCAGGCGACTTATCAGTCTGCTCATAAAGTGATAGGGCCTTAGGGGTACTTCTACTTTTGGCTTGTGGTTTACCAGCCCAGTTACAGTTTTTGTAATTCCTAATCGTCTTACAGTTACCTTCCCATATCTAACAAGTTTCAATAGCGAGTAAGAGAATGCATCTTAATTTGGTTATAAAAGTCTAAAAAGCATCAGAAGGCATACATGCTTATGAATGTCCACTGGTATATCAGTTTGCTAAAGCAAAGTGAAAATATGTCAGATTCTGGATATTTACTTAACCAGCTTTATGTCATATTGTATTAACGATCTTGTTTCTTACCTAATTCCTAGGCCAATGTCATACATGAAGTATATAAACAACTGAAGGGAATAGGCAAAATGGATCCTGAGACTTTCTCTGCATTCCCAAACCTAACAGACCCTTGGATGTATGATGGCTTAATCATGGGAAATGAGTCTACGAACAACACAGGAGGCAAGACTGAAATCTTTACAGACCACAACTTTGACAAGACAACCACCATGATCATCACATTCATGTATTTTGTGGTGTGTGCAGTGGGGCTTTGCGGAAACACCTTGGTCATCTACGTCATCCTACGCTATGCCAAGATGAAGACCGTCACCAACATCTATATCCTCAACCTGGCCATCGCGGATGAGCTCTTCATGCTGGGGTTGCCCTTCTTTGCCATCCAGCTCGCGCTTGTCCACTGGCCCTTTGGCCAAGTCCTCTGCCGCATAGTGATGACAGTGGATGGACTAAATCAGTTCACCAGTATCTTCTGCCTGACAGTGATGAGCATCGACAGGTACCTGGCTGTGGTTCATCCCATCAAGTCCACCAAGTGGAGGAAGCCCCGCATGGCCAAGATGATAAACTTGGCAGTCTGGGGGATCTCTCTGCTTGTCAATCTGCCTATTATTATCTACAGTGGCTTGCTGACAAAGAACAACACAAGCAGCTGCACCATAATTTGGCCCAATCCGCCAGAGGCCTATTACACAGGCTTCATGTTCTACACCTTCTTCCTTGGGTTCTTTCTGCCCCTGATGGTCATCTGCCTCTGCTACCTGCTCATTATCATCAAGGTGAAGTCCTCGGGAATCCGGGTGGGATCGTCAAAGAGGAAGAAGTCAGAGAGGAAGGTCACGAGGATGGTCTCTATTGTGGTGGCTGTTTTTGTGTTTTGCTGGCTACCATTCTACGTCTTCAATGTCACCTCTGTGACCGGCACCATTAACACCACACCCGTGCTTAAGACCACCTTCGATTTTGTGGTGGTCCTGGGCTATGCCAACAGCTGTGCGAACCCCATCCTCTATGCCTTCTTGTCTGAGAACTTCAAGAAGAGCTTTCAGAATGTCCTGTGTCTCAAGAAGGTGGGAGGCCTGGATGATATAGACAGGAGCGACAGTCGGCAGGACAAGACCCGGATGATGAATGATGCCACGGACACACAAAGCACACTGCTAAATGGAGACCTGCAGACCAGCATCTGAGTGAATGGAGGATTGCCAAGTTTAAAATCTGTTTCACCCCCTCCCACCATCAGTATGGAAATGGTTGATTAAGTGTCAGAACTTAAGTGATGGAAGACTTGCTGTACACTTACTGCACACAGTGTTCCTCTGGGACACTTTGAAGCCTTTGTGTCTGATGCACCAAGCAACGGTGCACACCGAAGAAGCTGTGTCCAATGTGAATGGTCCTGTACCCTGTGGTTGTGTAATACTTTTTCCCAAGGACAGTAGGAGGTTATAGGTTTCAACACAGACGTTTTAACTTATTTAGAAAGAAAGATTAATAATTTATTCACCCGTACTGCTTTTTACTGTTTATATGGAGAGGTGAGTCTTGATCATTCAGAAATCACGGACTGCACAATGAAAACTTCTTTCACCGAATGTAAAGCAGTAATAGCAATTTTGGAAGTTTTGTCTTTCTAACATTCAGAAATATTTAAGCATTATAGAGGTATCTTAAAAAAAGAATGTCAATTTAATAGAAAAAATGCTCTCAGTACTGCAAATTCATTTATAGAGATATTCATTATTTCTGGTTTTTATCTCAGGCCCCTCTGTGGAAGACAAAAATATATTTTTAAATATTTCTTCTATTTTAAAGAATACAGTAGCACTATCACAGCAGAAGAGATTTCCAACACTTAAATAAGAAACACTACTGTATCCATGAAGTGGCTCTAATTTCTACTGTTAGTATCATGGACATCTGCAGGGTGCAGCATTTTACTTTGCCTGTGGGTCTGTGTTATGGTGCATTGTTCTGGTTTAATCTGCCACTGTTACTCATACTGCTGAGGCGTGTAATTCAGGTTAAAAGCATTTGATGAAACCTAGAAAGGGTATTACCTTTTGACAACCATTTGTGTTCTGTTGCTGCAGTAGGGCTGAACTTCTGTCTGTTATCTGACACTTTTTTCACAAGACGTTAGAATGTGCTGTCCTCTTGTTTTGTAGTAGAAAATACTCTTTTTCGGGTGCACCTTACTTCATTACCAAAGTTAGTTGCTCATGTTGTGGAAATCCACATTTTTATCCTGGGCAGGGGATGCTACCTCCAGCCTGTGTTAGACAGCAGTGACCATCTGGAATTATTAAACATAACATTGACGCATTTCAAGTATCAGCAATTCAATGTGCGTGTCCTGGTGCTGTTCTATGGTTACATGTAGCAGCTGATTAATTTTGCCAGGTGATCCAAGCCTTTCGGCAATGTACAAATGAGCTCACCTGCTATCTGGATTCACTTCTTGAACCAGACTAACTATACAACCAGTACTGCAATGTGGAATAACGTTTATATTAAAATTCCATTCTCAGTTAGGGCTGCTCTAATTTGCCATTAATAACAATTAACATCTGGGAAAATTAAATCCCTAGTAATTACACAGAACAGTAAAAACTGCAATTCTCCTGTTAAAGCTGTATAGATGTTATTTAATCATGATCATGTATCTAAAAGCAAAGCAATAGTATTCTTTTTTTGACACAAAAGTTTTGGTTTTTTGTGCATAGTTTTCTGATGTTTGTCAATATATTGATCCATCCCGAGCAATTCATAAAGAAATGTTTGGAATAAATGTGGAGTGATAAGTTACACTGTATCCATTATTATTAAAAAGCCTTTTTGTTATTTTACATGTACACTATACATATAAACACAACTTTAAAATGCGTATTTAAATTAAACAGCATACGTGGAAATCTTGATTGTAATTTATACTGTCAACTGTTAGCTTTTAATCCTTTAACTCTGCAGAAAAATAGTAATTATTCTGTCTCTCAGAATACTGAGGAACTTGCAAAGTATTATTATAATAATGCTAATGGATGTGATTGTTAAACATCAAAATAAAGGGCCTTCAAGAGAGAATCAGGCTGGAATAGAGGATGGAAATGTGCAAAGAATTTATCAAGCACAAAGTCAACAAAAAATGTACTTTGATAAAAAAGGAATAAATGATGCCACAGGGCTTAAATGCTATTGATACTATACAAGTAGGCCACTTTATTTCCTTTGATATTATTGCTGTTCGTTGCTGACCTCTCCACAAAAGATTGAAAATAGATGGATTGTTGCTATTGGTAATATACATATGGCTACATTTCTAAAAAGATGTAACCACAAACTTCCATCTCCTGGCTGTGGGTGAACATTCTCTTTTAAAATCTTGTCCTAAAAATGTAGTCTGTCCTGAGGTGACAAGTGTAAAATACTTCATGTATATAAAGCACTTGCATGATAAGTAGAATTTGGTTAATATCTTACTGATTTTCTGTTAAAAGATGAGTTTAAACCAGAAGAAACTGAAAGTTTGGACAGGAAAAGAAACCAACAGGAAGACAATGCCGATTGTGACTCACTCTATGATGTACAGTATATTTACATCTTTGTCTAGCTTTTGACTTTTTATGGGAAGCTAGAAGTTTTAGGCCATCTTTGCGGATGTGGAGAGGCTGGCAATGTGGAAAGATGTTTTTGTACGAGCTTGTGTACTAAAGGTATAAAAGAATGTTCCAGCCCAAAATGTGCTGTTGTGTTCTCATGTCCCTGAGATGGTCTCCTTGCTGTTACAGTAAAAAAAAACAACAGAAAGGAGAAATGTTGAAGAACATGACTTCCATAGTTATGTTAGCATAGCTTGTTCTAGTAGAGATCTAGTTCACTCAGTAAAAACACTTTGCAAGTTCAGTTCTCTTTCTCCTCCCAATCCCTCTAAAATTTGTGAAGGGCTAGAACATGTACTCTTGAGTGCAGCGTTCCTACTTAACAACTATTTGTCAACTATTCTGCCGAACTTTGATAAATGGCAGGGACCTACAACTTGTAAATTGTGCCTTTTATTATCTGGTACTCCTCCCTCAAGGAAATCCAGAATCATCCTTTTTTTGTTTTGCTCAATTCTCCCCCTTCCGCATTGTTGCCTATTGTTTACACAATTATTGTGTTTTTGTGTCTGGTAATTATCATAATAGACTTGAGAGTATGACCTGTTTTCCTGCATTCATCATTATTCTGTTTCTCCGGCTACATCCTGCTCATGAGTTGGTGTAAAATTCTTTACCTCTAATTGTGAAAACATGCTTAAATTCTTTGATTGTTGCAAGCAACATAAGACTTTACACAATATGCTCTTTTCATCTCTAGTAACTGAAAACATTAATGATAATGCATTGCATTTAAATGCATTGATCTCCATGTTCTGTCTTGAAGCTTGCTGTTCAATATCTGCTTTAATGTATATGTTGTTTGTATTTATTGTTTAATTAATCTTTTTGAAATTGCTTGTTAATCTGCCTTTTTTTTTTAAAAAGTGCATTGCCTGGAAAAACCTAATTGTAAATCCTAAATCCTGCTAAAAATCATCGCACACTGCAAGTGCTTCTTCACTTTAGTTAAGCTCAAAGAATATATTTTAATAGAAACATATTAAGAAATCATTTGTAATGAACCTGAGTTAGAGACAGCAGAGTGCTACATGCCAGTGAGTGCAGCTGACTGAAATGCTGCAATTGTTCTCTTTTTTTAATAAAAACAAGCTAACACTTTTTACTACCATTAACATTCATGCCGTGGGACAATTCTACATACTGTCCCAGTCTATATATATTTATATATCTCAGAGGAATAGAATACCTGTGCCATGTAAACAAGTAGGATATAAGTATACAAAGCAGTTAGACACAGAAGTGAACTGAACGGCAACATTTTTTATGTTGCAAAAACAGCCTAACCCCTCTTTAGTACTCTTACTAGGTTTCTACTTTATCTCCTTATCAGGTCAAACAGCAGCTCTGCTTCCAACTCTCAAACAAAAGCATTCGTTCTTTAAAGTCCAATACAGAATCCAGTCTCTGCCGATCTCCTCCTTTCTCTCTTCTCTTCTCTCTGTCCTTCTCCCATCTCGCCCAGAGTCCTCCTTCCTCCTCTCCTCCTCATCCTCCAGGAAGACTGTCCTGCTTCTGTCTGATCAATATACCACCAAAAATGTTCCATCATGATCCAGATGTATTTTACGTCTCTATCTCTCATATATTCATATAGATACTTTTTCTAAAATAATTATACGTTTATGTAAAAACTGAGCCTCAAGGAAAAATATTGACTTTAATATTTACCATTTGGCTCCAAGAATGCACAAAAATCATTGCAGGGCTGGCAATTCTATTTATTTATATTTCCCTCCATCACCATAGGAACAAAAACTACTAAAAAGGCCCAGGGATTGGGCCTGGGTACCCACAATTCTTAGTGTAATGAAGTGTTTTCCATTCCTAATCCTAAATGAGTTCTCCTCCTGACTAGGTGTTACTAGTAAGTATGAACTAGTCCCCTAGGTTGACCCTATCTGTACTTATCATTTTTAATTTTCAGTATACGTGGACTCTCAGTCCTTAAGTAAACAGCATTGCCTTGGTTCTGGACTGAAGATTTTCCTTCTCAGTAGAAACTACGGGACCAACAAAAACATCAACATAAAAGCACCAGATTATTAGGATTTTCACAGGATCTATGAGTGAACCAAAAAGTAAAATGCACTCGTATTGTAAACATTTAATTGTGTGTTTTGATGCTAAAAATGCATTCACATATAAGAGAACAAAGATTTGTCCGTGATTATGTACAGGCTTTTAGCATCAAAGCAGAGCAAAGATTCAGAATGTGAAAATATCTTGGTTTTGTTCAAATCTCTCAAAGTTTCATTATTAGTGTGCAAATGGCACACATCAGAACAGTGGAGTGGAAAATGAGCACTATATGCATATGTATGGAACATTTATTATACAGAACCTATTACTTATGTTGAATTCATTTCAGAACTTGGCCAGGTCTGTGATCTAACCAGACAGAACGTGTTTACTTCTCTCCTTTCATCTCTGTTTTTATTATTCTTTCATGGTTTAATGCACCACACTTAAAGGAATCACACAATTTACAGACAGGATGTCAGCTGGATTAGGATAGAAAGCCTTTGGGGAAAGCTAATATTGGTTTAAGCCCTTGTGGAGCGGAACTCATACATTTTAGATTTAGATAAGGACAAATCTGTTATTCTGACAGCTGACGGTAAGCAACATGCCCTAGGTTTATCATAGTATCTCTATGGATTTTTGTTTTAAAAGACTTCTCTTTATTTTGCACATCACATACAGGGTATCCAGATCCACAAATTAATTTTCTAATTTTCCAGATTATAATCAAAATGCTTTTTCAGAATTTGTTTCTATTTCCAGCAACACATCAGAAGTACCCAATTCCCTGTAGCACTCTGCAATATTTTGTAAAGTACCACTTTTCTTATATAAACTTTCTTTTGAAGCTGTTGGAATAATTGTAATTTTTAGTTGTCCATTTTTAACGGGCCAAATGTTATAGCAGAAAATATTTAAAAATGTTGTGTTTCAGTGTTTAAAATAATAACATTTTTTTTTCGGTCAACCCAAAATTGATATGCTATATATCTATGGAAAATAAAATAAAAGATTACTTTATTTCTCCCTCTTCTATTTTCCATTCCACGCTCTAAAGGATGTAGGAAAGGTGGTAACTACATTCTACAGGAGACTACCTAGCTCATTAGATACTTCATTTATACTATATTGTGGAGCACAGAACTCGATATATAGTAATATAATATGCCGCATGATTTTTGATGTATTAAAGATTATACAAGGAAATCATACAGCACATGTCATACTGTATACTGTATGTATACTGTATTAACAACCTTGATTTGTGCAGACAGTGCTGTTGATCCCATCTAAAGTCTGTAAGACAATGGGAATTATTAGATGCTTATGTGTTTTTATTGGCTTATTCACATTTCATGCAGATATCCAATGAAATCTTATGTTATTGAGGTATGTAAGCCTCCCAGATTGTTTAACTTGATCATAAGACTAGCTTTGGACCCCTGTAAATGCTCAAATATGACACACCGTGCTTAAATAAAATGGGAAATTACCCCGCCACTCATCTGAGAAACTTTAAATACATATGTACAGTATATAGAGAAAGATTTTAAAGCAAAAAATATTGCTGTATTTTGTTTTATTAAGCTAAGGGTTTACAGTATTGAGACTTTGGCCTCATTTACAAGGGAACATTGAAACAATGAATGAAAATGAAAACAATGAGCAATTAGATGTATAAGAGCTGTAAGACTCACATTGTGCAACCAGACAGTAGTGAAATAAGAAAATATAGATTTGTGCCTGAACACTTAACATAGCCAAAAACATACATGAGGGAGAAAGCAATTTTTTTCTGATTTCACAAAATACAATTGTAATTGTAATCACACTGCCCGAGACACACTGCAGAGGCTCCAGGGAAAGGACAACTTGTGTAGTTCATTCTGTGCCCCTGACTCATTCAGCCCCTGACTGACTCCTGCCAAATGCTCATCACACACTGAGCTGCGCTTCTGTACAGTGAAAAGAACTTACACACTGTAATTCTGCTCGTCTCCGATATGTGCTCCTGCCAAATGTTTTTGCTTTTGTAAATATGTGAAATGATTACGATTGTTATTAGTTGGAAATAAAAAGGCACTGCATATTAAAGTTTGTGAGTGTCTTTTTCCTGCTTTAAATTTATCAGAAAGGACTTTGTTCAACATTAATCAGAAAGGACTTCTGATATTTGCCCAAGATAGCAAATTTAAAAATCACGAGGTAAGCTACAGCACTTCCAGTACCAAGGTTAAGCACACCTGAAGAAATTATATATTTGAGATCTAAAGGCTGGAATCATAATGACAGACTCATAATTAATATAGTATGTACACCTATAACAGTCTGGGAAACTTTAGGGTTAAAACGTTAATGGTACCTGTATATATTTTTGTGGGTTTAAATAAATAAGGTTTTTAACAGGGATTAATAAGTAATTAACAGAAACACAGAATCATGGATTCATGCTATATAGTATACAGTACTGGTGGCATACTGTAATTTACCTTCAGTGCAATAGGCAATGTACTCAGTTGTGCAGTTATGCATTTTAGATTGTTACCCTGAGAATCAATTAACAGCAAAAACAGTTCTGTTGTATGTTCATGCTTTGGGATATGAGACACAAGGTGTGACAAGGTTAATCCTTACCAGATGTAGTCAATGCACTGCCAAACTTCACTAACATCCTGTGCTGATGAAAGACTGGTGGTACCAATGTCCGCTGACACCCTCTTTGCTAAGCAAATACTACAGTAAGCAAAGCAAGGAAAGTCCCACTGGCTACTCAGCACCATCAGCTGTACATTTAACTTGGGCAAACATGCTTGGGAACAGAGTAGGCTCTGAACACAGAGGAAATCTGTGCCTCTCACTTGTGGCAAACAACTGTTTTAGATGCAGGAAAACACACCATTTACCAGCACTGTTGTGTTAAATTAGCACCTGTTTTTCCCTCCAGGATGACAGCACACCAGACTTACACACGAAGTTAGGAAGGGACATGGATATTTCAGGATGCTGATTTTAGAGTTTATAAAACATAAAGGAAATGTGTTTTGCTTTTATGTTGTAACAGTGGGAGTTTGTATTTTCAAAATAGGCATAAGCAAAACCAATGTGACTCAAAAGCTGTATGAATGCTGTTCATGGCTTCTTAATAGTAAACCATTCGGTCAGATGGCTGTATTCTTCACCACATAAGAAACATCAAAAGACTACACAAGGCACAGGCTCTGGAGTCTGGCTACTCTTTTCTTCCCTGAAAAACTTCATTTTATACCAGACTGTTAGTAAGCAATACTCCTCTCAAGCAAACAGCAATCCAAGTGGTCTGTGTTTGTTTTATTATTTGTAATACCATCCAGAACTGTTCTGGGTCTGGATGTTTGCTTTATCGCAATATTAAAATATACTTATTTGAGGTTTGCCTGCTTCACAGTCCTTGTCATGCTCACAGGCTGATATCTTTTCCCGCTTACCTGTACAATGTAAATATTAAACAGCTATTATGCTCTCCTTTAACTGTGGACAGACAGTATCTCAGGGTCGAGGCACTCTTGCTGCTCATTGGGTTTTTTATGTTTGCACATTTTGCTCAGCTCAGTCTCTTTTTCTGATACACCTGTTATTTTTTATCCCTGAATAAACTTGAGACAGGCTTTCATCAATGCATTAATGCTTTGATGGAAATGTGCAAGTCAAAAGAGCAGAGGTACTCCCTTGTGCTATCCATTATTCTGCTCTGGAAGGTTTCCAGGACTACTCCAGCAAGATACTAAGCCAAGTGCAATGCTCAGGGATGTTTGTAGCCCATTATTTATTTAAACTCCTATTTTTGAATTTCTAGTGCCACCTATTGAACAAATGCAAACAGTTCAATTAGCAAAACCAAAGAACATTATGCATCCAGAATTCTGAAAGATGTATATGATGAATAAATATTTCATTCCAAAATCACATCTTGTGGCATCTGTAGGTTTACGTAATGATTTTCCCAGATCGTAGTTTCACTCAAGATAAGGCAATACTCAACTTCTATTTATTTTAGCCCAGATGTTTTCATAGCAAAAACAAACAAGACTTCGCAATTAGATCCATATTATTTGCCTTTTCCCATGTTTTAGAAAGCTAGACTTACATGATAATTTGCATTAATTAATTTAAATGTAGCTGGAGTGCTGACACCTGTGTCCTGGCTAAATCCCCCTTGAGACTAGCCAATCAAAATTTCCCTTTTAATTCACCTCTGCAGGAAACTGCAGTGCTATTTTTATATTCTGGGCTCAGCATTGATGAGTGTGTTTCAAACCACGGTAAATGTAAAATGATAATAGTAACTTGTAAAACTTCCCATTTATATCACCAAATTGACAAAATGTCCCAATAAACACACCGCCATGTTCTGCAATACAGAACAAGGCAACAAAACCTCCGATGAGGTGAAGCGGCCCTGTGACATTGTAAAGAAGCAGACTTGTGATGACATCTCTTTTAATCCAACAGAAATATTGCTCTTTACTTCAAGACGGTTTTGCCGATAAATGGAACTTACATGTTAACTATGTATGCAGATCACGGTAATATATCCGCTGCACAATTTGTACTTAATTTGCTCGTACATACCTTTACATTAGTCATTACAGTGACTAGCGAGCAGGAAGGGCAGCATCACGTCACAATTCGTGAGAACTCCTGCTCTCACATGTGGCAAGACCAAGAGTTTGCAACAACATGGCAATTTATAGTGATTTGGTGTGAATCCGAAATGCATTAAAGTTTTCTATACCATCAATACATGTATTTTGTTATCAAGAAAGTAGGCCTTCAGTTCCCTTTTAATGTAATTTGTTATTTCTTGGCCTGATATTTTGTGTTCTGACATATTAACAAACTTGCAGCACTGTCAAAAATGTTACTGTCTCATGAAGAACTAAAAACTGTTGTAAACTGTTACAACAGAGTGGTTGCCATGGGTGTGCTGTACAGATGATTGAGAAAGTAGGTCCCCTCTTCTATATAAAGCACTTTGGGATCCATCTGGATAAAAAGAAACTGCTGTACAGATGCAAGGGATTTGTATGGTTATTCTTATAATTATCATTAACACACTCAACAGTTTTGGGAAGGAAATACTGATGCACAGATCCAAGGACACATCAAAGCAGGTAGTTTCCCCAGTAATTTTAGAAACCATTGAATGCGTGACAATTACAAGGTCTATTAACTGCATGCATCGATTAGATAAGTCTGCTTCTAATGAATGTGTCATCATTTGAAAAGGGCAGATCATTTCATGGCGAAGTGGAGTTAATTCAGAATGATTATCTCAAGGGATAGGACCCGCATAATTACAGGCCTAGACGAAATGCATATGTCATTATAACTAGAAAATTCCTTCAGTAAGTGTTTCATTATCTCAAATTAATATGATTTTTGGTCACGGTTCATAAATTATTTTAATTTAATTTGATCCTCAGTGACTAGGAAGACTGAAATTTCTCGCTTCCTCGAACAAATTTCATACTTTCACGTGGGAGGGCTTCGTGCGAAAAGAAACTGTATTCCTTGATCTTGATTTTTAATGAATCAAGATAATGCCTTAGACTTCCTATAAACTGTTTCGCAATGTCAAGTTAACAGATGCTTTGGAATCATTCAAAATAATCAGAAAAAAACACCCAAAATCTATACAGTCTGATGCAGCGTTTTAAAACTTAAATTTTGCATCGCTTAGTGGTTTTGCAAATGATCATACATTTAACATTGTTTAATGCATCCATAACCATCCATAATGCATCCAGGTTGATGCTGCACATTGGTAGTGGTGGAGGGGAGTCCCCATTACCTGTAAAGCGCTTTGAGTGGAGTGTCCAGAAAAGCGCTATATAAGTGTAAGCAATTATTATAATTAATTATAACTACCGCGAATCTGAATCCTTACATTTGGGCTCCAACTAGTGGATTATGAATGAAATACAAAGTCTTTACCCCTGTCACGTGATGAAGGTCTGACTGCCTGCTTTATGCATCCAAAATCCTGTTCTGAGGTTGGACCTTCCGGGTTGTCAGGTTGTTATTCCAGCTATGGCGGCTGTGCCAGCTCATTCGCTCCGGATCTCGGAAATCGGAGACCCGACTGCCCTGTTTGAGCGTTACAGTGCCGATGAGATTCGAGGTATAGAGCGCAGGGTGCGGGGCGAGATCGAGCAGAAAAAAGAGGAGTTGCGGCAGATGGTCGGAGAGCGCTACCGGGACTTGATCGAGGCCGCGGATACGATAGGCGAGATGCGGCAGTGCTCGGAGAGCGTCGTGCAGTCGATTCAAGACATGCATCGCTACTGTCACCAACTCAAACAAGGAAAAAATCCGTCTCTGCCTGTCAGCAGGTTGGAAGTAAGTGACGTGGCCGTCGTCGGGTATTTTAAAAATGCCACTGATCGAAATGTCCTATCGTTTACAGTGTTGCCTTACAAAACGGTTGCTTTTTATGGGTTTGCAGTTTTCGACTGCTTTCCGAAAGGCGACTATGCAGCTCTGCTGTTGTCCGATGAATATCTATTACTGTATGGACAGCTAGTGCCCATGCCACCTGCCTTTTGTTGTGACCGGTAAATCCACGGTATGGCACACACACGTTACAACAGAAGACCGTCTGTCGTTTAACAGCACTGATAACGACACCAGATTAATTTGGCAACAGATGTTGTCAAACCGTAGTCGCAAATGATGCTGTTTTAAAACATGTGAGATCTCTGTTGTTGGCAGGAGATCGTAGTTATGAGGCTCAAATTTATCATTGACAATCTAACATTCCAGTTGCAGCAAAAAATACAACCTGTATCGACACTGATCTTTTGACACGCACTAATTATTTAACTGACTATAACGTTGGGCAGAAGTACATTTGTGTTTGGAATACATGTAATTTGCAAATATTTCGCTAGGCGTCGCTGCTGGATCAGATTAAGTCTGGCGTTCATATGTTCAATATTGCTAATGATACATTTGGGTAATATTTTGCCTTCCAGTGTCACAGGGAAGCTAGCCTGGCACACTTACTCACAATCTTCATTAGTCATTTATTTAGTTACCTTAATCACAGCTAAAGCCACTAAAGTCAGAAATGGGATTCTATTCCATAATTATGTGTAGATGTAATTCAAGAAGATAAATCCCTTGGAAATGCCATGTCTTGGTGAAGTCATATGAAGCTGGCCTGAAATAGCCTGCTGTCTTTTTATCTAAAGAAAAATAAAGTTCCTATCGAAGGAATGTGAACATTGATTCAATTAGGAACATGAAATCAGTTGCAAACAATAAGGATGCTGTTTGGTCCGTGTAGTCTATTTAGTCATCTGTGGCTTATTGATCCGAGGACCTCATCTAGCTTTTCATTTAAGGGGATTCTTTTAAGAAGGCATGGTATCAGCTTCAACAGCATGGCTGGATACGTCTCCCCATACTCCTACAACCCTCTGTGTAAAGAAGTGCCTCCAAAAAAGGGGTATGGAGATCTTTTTGTGTTAGCAGAAAAAATCTCTATTTTATTTTTAAAAAGCTTTAAGTACAGTTAGTACTATATCAAAAGCAAAGCTATATGAAACATTTTTGCCATAAGGAAAGCCATTAAGAGAAATATAGTTTTTTCACCTTTTGGAATGATCCATAAAAGGTCTTATACAGGAGAGGAACACTCGTGATCTGTTATCTCTGTTCTGGTATAACACGGCAACGTTACAGTATTTGATAGGTGGGTGCCTGTACCCCTGTCTCCTGTGCTGCAGAGCCAGCGCCAGTCTCAGGAGAAGTTTTACAGCATGGCTGCCCAGATCAAGCTGCTGCTGGAAATCCCGGAGCGGATCTGGAGTGCGATGGAGTCTTCCCAGTACCTCCACGCCACCCGGCTCTACCTGCTCTGCTGCCACCTGCACAGCCTGCTGCAGCTGGGGGGTGGAGGGCCGAACTACAGCCCAGTGCTGGCCCGCTTTCCCATCCTGGTGCGCCAGGTGGCTGCTGCTGGACACTTCAGGTAAGCACTGCCCCCTCTGCCAGCTAGAGACGCCATCGGGCACCAGTGTGGCCTGCTCGTTTCTCCGCTCCGATCCCTACAGGGTGTGGTCTTCTCAACAATGTCCGACTGAAAAAAAGGTGGCAGTTCCACCTTGCGGTGTTATATGCTCTTTGTTTTTAATTTGTTCATTTTATCACCTCTTTTCTTCGTAAACGTTTTTTCTTGCTGTAAAGCGCTTTGAGAAGTTATTTTTTTTAATCAAGTGTAGTATTATTATTTGCCCCTTGTTTGTTTTCTGTTACAGTTTGATAAAGTAAATATTGTTCTTTGCTGAAAATACTGGTAGTATGGTAGGTATTAAAAATAACTTTGGCTTCAGCACACAGTGAACATAATGTGGCAAAACTTCTCTAGGCATTTAGCCACCTAGTGGAATCTTTGAGTGTTTGATTCAGCTGTTTTACTTTATGGAATAGCTTATGTAAAGAAATTACTTTGAAGTAGAAATTAAGGATAACGATCATAACGATTTTTTGGCCTTTGCGCGTAACAGGTGGAAATCAGGGCTCGGAAGCTGACTGTCATTTTTTTATGTCCAATTTTTTGCGACTGGTCTGTGTATTTTCAGGTCCACCATCTTGCTGGAGAGTAAATCTCTCCTGAAGGGCCAAGTGGTTTCAGACCAGGCCATTGCAGAAGCCCTGGTGTCCACCATGCTCCTAGAGGACAGCTCACCGCGGCAAGCCCTTGCTGACTTCCTGTTGGCCAGGAAGGCCTCCATCCAGCAACTGCTCAACCAGCCCCAGCATGGTGCGTACCTGAGCCCAAGAGCCCGTTGTCTTTCCACTCTGCCTTTCAAGCAACCCACTGTGTTTCTGCCCTCATGGTAGCTGTGATTGTAGTTAACATTGTTGCGATCTTACGTCTCTGAATACCTGTCAGAAATAAAAGAAGTGGTGCACATCTCAGGGTTTAGAAGAGTGTGAATTTTCTGAGTGCTGAGGATGTTAGTGTCCTTGCATATATAGAACAAGGCCTTCCAAGTTCAAGTAACAAGTACAAAGTGGGTTTCCCCCCCTGCTGTTTAGGTTGCATTATCCCTTTGCCTTGAATGAGCACCCTTTGCCTCAACCTGTGTTTTCAGTATGCATCAAGAGGCAATTGTCATTGTCCTTTATCTTGCGTTGATTGACTAAACAAACAATGTTGACCTCCAGGTGCTGGTATCAAGGCTCAGGTATGTTCTCTGGTGGAGCTGATGGCCACTACACTGTACCAGGCCTACGCCGTGTTTTGTACTCCTCCTGAGGGTAAGCCAATGGAGCCGCCCCTGAGCTGCGGCCTGCTGTTCGCCACACTGGAGACTGTGACCGGAACTGCACCCGCTGGTATGCACCTCCCACCCCCCCTGCACTGGGAGACTAGTAATAGTAATTCATCATACTTATATAGCACTTTTCTGGACACTACTCAGCTATAGTGTGCCAGTATGCTCACCACACATCACCTATTGTTGGGGAGGAGAACAGAGTTATGAAGCCAATTCATAGACGGGGATTATTAGGAGGCCGTGATTGGTAGAGGCCAGGACGCCAGGGTAGCATGCCTACTCTTTTTGAGAAACACCCTGGGATTTTTAATAACCACAGAGAATGGGGACCTCAGTTTTACTTCTCATCTGAAGGACGGCACCATTTTACAGTAGAGTGTCCCCGTCACTATACTGGGGTATTAGGACCCACACAGACCACGGGGTGAGGGCTCCCTACTGGCCCCATTAACACCACATCCAGTAGGAACCTTAGCTTTTCCCAGGAGGTCTCCCATCCAAGTACTGTACTGACCAGGCTCACACCTGCTTAGCATTAGTGGGCTGCCAGAGTCAAGCTGCAGGGTGATCTGGCTGCTGCCTGACTAGTAATGTGCCGCAAAGACTATGAATGCAGTAGAAAATAAATGCAAACGCATAAACTAATTTGCAGTGGGTAAGGTCGTTGCAGTTCATTACAAAATTTCATTTGTTTTAACCTTCAGCCATGGAGATTTAGAATGCAGTTGGTCTGTGTCTTGTCTCTTCATACATCTGTGCAAACGTAAAGAAAGGAGATACCGAGTAAACCTCTGAGGCATTTGGGGCTAATCTTCTTTGCAAGGGAAAGAGAAGAAGGTCCTGCAGGGAGAGATGAGCTCAGGCAGCTGGTTCAAGTACCTTCCGTCCTCTGTGACCGACTTCCAGCCGACCCTGCGGACCCTGGCTCAGCCCATCCAGCCTGAGCATCTCAGAGACACGCTGCGGCAGTGGATGGACACGTAAGGAAGAGAACTTGGGCACGGGGGAGGTTTTTGGCAACTTAATAACATTAAACAGGGAACAAGGAAGAACTGGCTAGATCCATGCGATTTCCTTTGTGGTCATAAGAACCTATGGGTGGAATTGTTTCATTTTCTCCAGTGAACATCAGGCTTGAGCAGTTTACCTTTTTTTACTGTAAATCCAAGAGGTGACCCAGCAAGCAATATTCCAGTTTTAGGGAAGGAAGTCTTTAGAGGGAAGGGGGGCATACAGTTAATGAGATGGTCACCCTCTCGTGTAACGCGCTGGCTGCAGGTGTAAAGAGGATATCTGCAGTGGAATCAGCGGCCTGCTGGTCTACGTGAAGAGCCTGAAGGGCCTGGCAGCAATCCGGGATGCTGTGTGGGAGCTGCTGACCAGTGACGCCATCAGCCAGCACTGGAGCGTCATTTGTCAGCGGCTCTTGGAGCGCCCCCTGTCCTTCTGGGAGGATTTCCTCCAGCAGCTCTTCCTCCAGCGCCTGCAGGTTGGTTTCATTCTCTTTTTAAGTGCGTTGTCTTACAGCAGGCCATGTAACATGAGCTGCAAATAAAGTAAAATCCTGATATTTTAATCAGTGTGCTGCAAGTTGTATTCTTCCAAACACAGACCATAGATCTGTCCCCCTTCTTTGTGAGACAGTTGGACGTGCTGCACCAGACAGGCATTTCAGCTTAACAGGACCCAGAAAATGAAACTGGTTTTCCTCGTCTTAGAATTGTCAAAACTTCAATGGATGATTTTACTTTTAATGGATGTATGAATGAAAATGGTGGACCTATTTCTCTGCTCCCAGGCTCTTACTCAAGAAGGAATGGAGGAGATCTCGAGCAGCTCCAGAATCCTGTTGACCTCATCCCTGCGGGAACTGGAAGGGCAGTCAGGTTCCGGGGGCCCCAGCAGGGCGACGCAGTTTGAGGGTGACGTAGCCTCCTTTCTATGGTCCGAATCGCCCAACGACCTGCTGAGTGACGCGGCCTGGGTGAGCGTGTCAGGCCGCAGCCCCCTGCTGAAGAGTGGCCTGTCTATGAAGACCCAGGCCTTGACCCCCTGCGTCCAGAACTTCTGCTCCTCCCTGGACTCAAAGCTCAAAATCAGGCTGGAGGACCTTCTCTCCTACTTGCCCTCTGAGCAGACCACCAAGGAGTCTGCCGAACCTCTTCCTGTCGCGTCCTCCTCCTTTGACCGCTTCACTGATGCCAGCACTGTGGAAGAAACCGTGCGAGAGCACTGCCTGGCCTGCGTGCGCAATATCTTGTCTTCCGTGCGCTCCGAGCTGAAGGCTGTGCAGGACAAGTTACTCAGCTCTGGCCGTGCAGGAAACAGCTGCCTCAGTTCAGTGCTCTTCATGGCAAGACTCTGTCAGTCCATGAGCGAGCTCTGCCCCAGCCTGAAGCAGTGCATTCTGGGGAAGCAGGGTGGCCCAGATCACATGGTGAAGGACACTTCCCGTCAGGGCAGGAAGCTGGGCAAAGGCGCCAAAGCGCCAGAGATTAGCCCTGCACAGGCCAGGTGGGCGGATCTGAGGGAGGAGCTTCTATTATGCAGCATGGAAGCTTACCGGATCTGGAGCTCCGCCCTCACCGAGGTTTGTCCAATCAAAAGAAAGCAATTGTGGGCGGTGCAGTGTTTGTTTATAGTTGTTTAGTTTAAGTTGACTATTTAGCTAGGCCGTTTTTTTTTTTAAGGATTTCAGGATAAATGTCATAATATTTTTACTTAAGAGGTTGTAGGGGTCTGGAGCAAGGTACCCTGTCATGCTATTGAACCTGCTGTCTATCCTGTTTAAAGAAACGCCTGAATGAGATGCTCCAATCAATTAGCTACTAGAAAGAAATAGGGTTAAAAAATGAAAAAACACAAACTTTCACCTTTTCTTATGAGACAAACTATTGTAAAACAAATCCTAGGTTAGACTAACACATGGAGGTACAATTATTTTTCAGTTACATTTCTCTCCTGACAAGGAAGAAAGAATTCCATGAAGGGAATAGGTTTTGACTATCACATTTAAAAGCTTAAGAAGGAGGAACTCAGTTTTTAGAAAGCAGTTCAGTTCACCTCTAGTTCATTATGAAACATTTATAAAACATTTGGTTTTGCATTTATTTTAAAAAGATTGTGCAGATGTTTCTTTCATTTAAAATTGAAATTATTAGGAGGTGGCAGTCCAGGAGAAGCAATACAGCAACAAGTGCATATTCAGCCTTCATTTGCGTTTCTTTTTCTTTTTGACCTGTTGCTTTGTGCTTCTCTCAGGCTCTGGTCCAAAACTTTGCTGGCAGACTTCACTCGAGCTCCGCAGGCTCCATCCTGGAAACAGCAACCAACTGGGAGGAGCTGGAAATTCAGGAAGAGACTGAATCAGGGAGCAAAGTGACCTCCAAAATCCGTCTTCCCGTTCAGGTGAATCAACAGCCGGTGACAGCTGAGCTGGGGGCAGGGATTCAGTCTAAAACTCTAGGAACTGCGGGCAGGAACTTGCAGTGTTCAGTCCTAATCTTTTCTTGTATATGTCTGTGGGAATATTGAATATCTCTGCATCTGTAATTCAACAAAGGTCCAGACAACAAAGAACTAGCATAAATGAGTAACTTTCTCCACTGCTACAAAATTATTTTTATCTAAAGTAACTTACCAAATTATACAGTACAGCTGGGTGTTTTACTGGAGCAATCAGAGAGTAGTAACTTGCTCAGTAGTACAACAACGTCTCACCTGTGATTTAAACCCACAAACTACCATTTATGAGTGCAGTACCCTAATAGGTGCTTCCCACAGAATGTAGTTTTATTCCACCCTCTTGCTCAGACACAGGTTTGTCATGTGGGTTAATATGTCCTGGTTAGTCTTATGCAAGTGTGCGTCCTCTGTGGATCTGTAAAAGATCTGAATTCCAGTCTTTTCAAAACCAATTTTAAAAGAACTTTGCAGCAAACAATGTACATATGTTACTGTTTAAAGCTATCTTTTTAGGATTTGATTCAGGTTTTTGATTTCCATTTTTTCCCCTTCAAAGGCTTGAGAAAGAATGAGTTAAAAATGCATGTCTGTGTCTTTGCAGCCCTCATGGTATGTGCAGACTCTTCTCTTCCATCTGTGCCTAGAGGTCAACAGGATTGGAGGTCACGCACTGCCAAAGGTCACCCTACAGGAGCTGCTGAAGGGCTGCCTGGATCGGGTCATCACCGAGTACGAGAAGCTGGCTTTGGAAAAGCACAACAAGGTGAGCTGGACAGTAGTCCAGGAAAGGGCTGACTGTACTTGTGCTGATGAACAGAGCACGCAACAGATCTACAGAGTATGGCTACTCAGTACAACACAAAAACAAACCCATTTGCATTTTCTGTGCCACCTGCAGAACCTCTGACACTTGTACTTTCCCCCTTTCAGGACCCTGCCTTCCTCATGACCCAGAACCGGGCCTTGCAGCTGCTATTTGACCTGCGCTACCTGTCAGTGACTCTCAGCGCCAGGCAAGAAGAGGGAAAGGCCTCTCGTTCCCACCAAGATCCCAGGTACCCACCACCTCCTGGGGAGACCTTCGCTGGAGCTTCTGCACCTTGAGTGCTCCTTTAATACTTTTATTTTCAATTATTGCCTTTTACTTAATTGACATCCCAAGCCAACACTTCCTTACGCAGTTTAAAATGAAATCTTGCGTGGTTTCCAGTAATGTTTTGCTTCACGTTGAAACCTGAGGCCTCTGCCCCGAGCCTAGGAGATAATTGTTCGGGTGCTCAGTCTACTTGTGCCAATTTTGTGGGGTTTTTTGTGTGTTCCTCTCCTACCTCTCTCTCTCTCTCTTTCTCCACCAGGATCCAGCAGGTCTGTGATTGCCTGGAGGGCCACATTGATCCTTTTGACTTGGATGTCTTCACCCCCCCACTCAACACTAACCTGACCCGTCTCGTCCAGAGGACCTCTGTACGTACCTTAGCACGGCCCCATGGACACTGATCTGGGCCTCAGGCTGCACATACTGTCTTTCTGCAGTTAGAAAAACTGCCGCACAGCGATAATGAACCGAACATTTCATTTTGTGTTTTTTTTTGGTGCCATATCATAGGAAACATTTTATAAATTAACTGCAGACAAAAACTCACCCTGATGGCCACTTTAGCTGTTTTGCCACTATGTGATTGAGACGCCTAATTTCCAGGGTTAGAAAGAAACATTTGAAATATATTTTGTCTATATTAATAGTACTGTTTAATATGCAGAACTAGCAGGTAGACAGGAAAGTATCAGATTGATGGAAGGTGGTACAGGAAAAATGCTAGTAAAGGTTTGTTACAAGGGGACGATTGTTGTCATTCATAGACGGTAACAAAAATAAATTTGGTGTTGTTTGAACTAAATTACAGTGATGTGCATCCCATCCATTCTTGAGAGGGTATTATCAGTAGTGCAGCCTGCTAGATCGCAGGACTAGTCATGTGTCTGTAAAACTGGAATTTCATGCGCTGTGCTATCTCCTGTGCAGGTGCTGCTAGGGCTATTGACAGGCACAGAGAAGCAGTTCAGCTCCAGGGGGCCCAGTGTTGGCACTCAGGAGCCATACAACATCCTGCCCCTCGCCAGCAGTCAGATCCGGTGAGTGGAGCTCCGATACTGCAGCTTCGCCCTGGAGACGCTTTGGCCACTAACCTGCAGTGGAGCTTTTAGAACAGACAGCTAGAGCCCTGCATGGTGCCCATCAGGCCATCGTCTTAGGCCTGCTCTGAAAGGAACTTAAAGGAACTAATAGAATTCAACTGAGTTGATTTACAAGGCTCCCCGGGAGGGATATGCTAAACCGCAGCAGTATATCAGAAATCTCAAATTCGAATGAGAGTTCAGCACAGATCTAGATACATTTCCATGGATTCCCCTCTTGTTTTTACTTCTTATCTATGCGTGTCATGAAGAAAATATATCAAGTTCAGTTGTGCCTAATCCTAGGTTCAGAAATCATGGCCCGTTATGCTGTGGCGGTCATCGTGACCAAGGCTGTTTGATTTCCCCAGGTTCGGACTCCTGCCCTTGAGCATGTCCACTTCCCGGAAGTCCTCCAAGCCTGCATCCCGGGGCTCTGAAATCTCCAGGACCCAGGTTAGGACTGGGGGAGTCTGGCAATGGGGGGGCCCTGCGGTAGAAAACATCCAACGTTTCACCCCAAATAGACTCTGGGTTCATTTACACATCCTGCACCTGTAACGGTGCTGTTGTTATACGATGCACATCTGTTGGGAAACCTCGTCTAAACTGATTAGTCAATACAAGGCATAACCAGACACTCACTGTTCACTACCTTCTGTACTCAGAAACAGCATCTCTGCCTTAACGTAAAGATTAGAACATATCACACATTGGCTGTTTCTATTAAATTCATCATGGATATTATTAAAATGGCCAGTTCACAGTAGGTTTGTCCTTGACCTACGTTATTTTACATGAATGATTTTGTTCCAGACCAGAATGTGTGGCTCTTGAAGTGATAGTGCTCAGAGAAGAATAATTGCATTTCTCCTCTGCTTTGTCAAAGTCAATGGACTGTTTTTTGATTAGCAGCTTTGGATCACAGTTAAATGCTGTCTGCTTTTCTCTAGTTCCTGCTATTCTGAGAGCTCTGTCGGGGAGCCGTAAAAGACTGGTGTGTGGTAATTTACAGAATGTGTGCAGTGTGCTCCTGCCTTGCCTCCGGTTTGTCGGAGTTTTCTGTAACCGTGTGTCATATGTGGTTTGTTTCTTCTCAGGTTATTATTGAGAATTGACAACCCAAACACAACAGAAGCTTACAAATGAGAAATGCAATTTGATCATTCTAGTTGATTTCATCAGCTGAACGTGAATCCAACTTTTAAAACATTTCCATGACATTTCTTAATTGCTTTAGTGATCTGATCGGGGGTGGGCAACCTATTTCACATGATAACTTTTAATTCATTTGGTTTCCTTTTTATTTTAAATTGGTTTTAATCTTAAACCCATGGCTGTGTACCTCTGTATTTCCTCAAATCAGGAAAAAGAGAGATACATCATTGTGGTAATAGAGATGACTGTTAAATTTGGATTGTTTTTGAAAAAGTTTAAATTCATAGGCATCTGAACCCATTGGAATGCTGCTGGTGGCTTCCAGTAGGTTAGGAAATGAGTTTCTAATTGTTAAGGAATTTGTTGCACAGTGAATACATTACACTAACAGTGAATGAAGAGAAATACATTAATGTGATTCACTGTGAAATACGAAGTCATTAGCCATGTAACAGGTCAAAGAGGAAAAAGATCAAGTCCTGTCTGGGAACACAGATAGAAAGCCTGATTGTCAATGCTGCAGCACTGTTTCACAGATGGCTGGCCATTAACAGTAGTTAAAATGAAAGATCTGAAATGTGCACTCCGTGGCAGAATCTCTGATCAGTCTCATCCCTTAGGATCACATTCACAGACATTCCTGTGGCACAGCTGGCTGCAGTATATAGACTTTTAACTTTTACTTGAAATAAAGTCTCGGTTAAAAACATGCAGTGGTTTTTAATGTAGATTTAAAATTGCATTTCTTATCTATTACTAAATAGGTCTATACACCTTTCAGCAGCCCCTGATACAAAATGATACAAAACAGAGAATCTTCTCTGCATGAGTTGTTTTTCTGCCTGAAATGTTTTGCATGAAGCTGCCTTGATGTACAGCTTTTCTCTCCTGTTTTGAGGAATTTTCTTAACACATTTGAAAGCGAGACAGCATTGAGAAAATATTTGTGGCTAGTTGCGTATTTGCCTAAACATTGGAGAGTCATGAGCTTAGGGCAATGATATATTTAGACTGTAAAAATCAGCTGTTGAATTAATGTAATTTTGAAAAAAGTAGTGACATTGTAATTGTAGAAAAGCTGCTGGGCTGTGTTTCTAATAATGAACAGGGAAGAGTGAATCATGCTGTGGTGCTTTTGGTAGAAGGATCTATAGCTCCCTCTAGTGGACAGACTGGTACTCTTTCACAGTTGAAAATAGCACTTCCTAATTTAGACAGTAGGTGGGATAAACAACTTGTAACAATTTGGCATATACAGCTGTGTTTAAAGATGCACAAATGTCATATTTTGTGTATACAAAAGTTAGGTTGCGTATTATGAAGAATATTTTAGATTTTTTTATGCATATATTATTTCATAGAGATTTTTTCACTGTTAACATAAGTTAAAAACGTACCAGAAGTGTGTACTATATTCTCACAGAGATCCTATCTGTTCCAGCCAGAAGCAAAACTAGCTCAGTGCCTGCACTGCATTTTCACAGGATGTGATACTCAATGTTTATGCACTTTGCCTTCAGTCTTCATTTGCACTAAGCAAACTAAGTCTTATAAAATATATAACTGACCTTCAAGCTGCTGTCTTAGTTCTTTACCTCATTGAACTTAGTTTTTAGGATTCCAGTCGTATATGCTGCCATCTGAGAGCGGGAAAATGAGATTTGTAATCTGAGGTTTTCATAGTAGTAAAACCACAAAGCCTGGACAATAACAGTCTTAAAATCTGAGCCTACAAGTGTGATAAACATGGACTGAGGACCTGTTAACTCTAACTCTTCTGTCACTGAGCTCATTCTGTTTTTGTCCACCCCTCATGGTACAGCATCGCAGCTCTAAATATCTTCCCCCAATGTTGTGTTCCATTAAAGGTTGTCCCTGCGTCCTCTGCCCTACCAGGAGAAACGTTCCGACCTGGAAACTTGTTCAGACAGCTGGCGTCTCAGGAGGAGGAGCCCACAGGCCCCTCCCTCTTCAAACTGGGCTGGCTCTCCAGCATGGCCAAGTGAAGCTTTTAGAAGATTTTTAACGTGTATAAAGTTAATAAAAAATAAATATATATATAGTTGTATTACTAAACTTTGGTTATGTCATGTTTACCTCTGCAGACTTAAGCCCTGGAAAATCTTCACACTTAATACATGATCAAAGGCTCATTCTCTCACTGTAAATCACTTATTGAAAAATTTTACATTTTTGTGGTTCAGTTGTCCAACGAAAATAATGCAGAACTTGATGCCATCTGAAATAATGGAGTGCTAAAGAAAAGTACAAAAATGCGACTGTGAATGTTGACCTTCATGTGTATCTACGGTTCTGGCTCTAGCCTT